AGTTTGTCCATTTACAATGCCTCATAATTCAATTTCAGGTCCACAAATGGCCACTCAGTGGCCAGTCTGTAGCAACCTGAGAGCAACATTTGTCCAGACTCTACTCTTAAGCTATATTGGGCCCATGCATGGAGTCACAACAATGTTGTAATGAGCATTGCTATTTACCCAGAATGTTCGCATTTTCTTGTTGATGTGACATGGCTGGTGCCAATTGCTCCTACAGTATACACATAAAGTACTGTGCAAAAGTCAGAGATTACCCTTCATTTAATTAATTTCAAGTAAAGAAAGGAGATATTTTTGAGGTGATTAGACATAACTTGATTAGACACTCTTCCTTCAGATCTAAAAAAAATACAGATCTTTCTGTTCCTGCTTTCACTGTGAGAAGACAACTTAATGCTATATATCTGAAAGCGTGTGTAGATGTCAAGAAGGCATTAGTGAGAAAACAAAATGGACGAAAAAGAAAATTTGCAAATCAAACAAAGAAGCTGCTGGTGTTCTCAGAACAGTGGACTGACCACCCCAGAGTCCAAACCTTAACATCACTGGATGTGTTTCGGATAACTTGGATCGTGAGAAGCGGAAAGTGCAACCAAGTTCTAAGACTGAATTTTGGAGGTGTGGAGAAATATCCCTGCAGATTTCTTTGAAACACTACAAGTCACCACAAACTCAAGGCAAAGAGTGGACACTCTACTACTGAAAAAATTCATATGATGTTTAGTTGTTGACACTTCTGTGAAATTTTCTGTTTAATGGATGTTTTCTGCTTTTTTCCTGCTGCTAAATAATGAATAACGAGTACTTAATGACTCTTTTGACTAGAAATTAAATAAATGAAGGGTGGAATATGGCTTCTGCACAGTACTGTAGTTGTCTCCAGACTGTTTGTGTTGTTATAATTCCATTTGACAGGAACAGTTTGTCTTTATTGTTCTCAGACGTTTGTTGCGTGAAAACATTTGGAAGCTGTGAGCTCACTAGCGAGTAGGCTGCTGTTTGCATTCTTCATAAACTGGAGAAATGCACTGAGCTACAGAGAGTGGGAGGCACCCACCTCGTTACTGACATTTCATTTAGGGGAAAGGGAGAATACGCATACATGCACGCCTCCCCCAAATGTGAGATCTTCCATGGCTTCAAATGAAGGAGAAAAAGACTCTCGTAAAAACCCGTCGCCTCTTGCAGCGAGGGGGAAAAAACGTGAGTGAATTTATAGCTGATTTGTAGTATTATAAACAGGACGCATTCCTGTTGTAGTGCTGGACATCTGGAATGCACGGCGGCACTTTCTTTGAGGAGGAAAAAAAAAATTGGAAATGAAGTCTTTTCAGGAAGCGGGAGTGTAAGAGTTCTCCAGCGTCTTTAGATGCAAGCAAGAGCCAAACAACATTCTCCAGGGCCTCATCTCCGACAGTTCATTTGCTGGGCCTCTTTAGCAGACATTACAAACTGTGGTCATTGTACATGGTATGTCTGTCTGAGAGCTGAATGTGGTTTCCACCAAAGCCGAATCACTGCAGCGTCGTTTTGGCTCGTCACCCTGCTGTGTTTGACATTTGAGCCAGGGTGGAGTTGTCTGAAGCTTGACCAGCTTTGCCACCACACTTCATTCAAATTTCACTAAGATGAATGAGAGACAGTAGTTGCGAGCTAATATTTCCCAGGAGATTCGTCCATAAGAGTGATTCATATGAGCTTGTGGAAAGACGTAATCACTTTGCAGTGGAAAACGACATAAAAATACTCCATCGCCTCAAATCATGGAGTCACCACTGGAACACTGTGTTGTTTCTAGTAGTGTTTGAGTGCTAGGGCTGCACAACGAATTCTTTGTGAGTCATTATTGTGATTTTTGCCTGTACAGTAGGCTATTGAGTTTTTATGTTCTTTTTGTGTGCTACAAGCGTTCTGAACAACCTCAGATGTTCCAAATGAGTGCCTCTGTGTATTTTTATTAATCAAGGCACATAATCCAACAAATCTAAATAATTTTACTCAAATTAATGCAGGCCCATTCTTAATCATGTAATCAGAAATTCACCATCAACAGTGTATAAACAGTATAGGCCAAGAAATATGATTGCAGTATGGTGCTTATACATATGGTGCTGCCCTAGTGAATATTAATGGAATGCGACTGTTTTCCTGTTGCTAAGCAGCAATGATGCTGTAACTGTCAGTTAGCTGCACTAGCAAGCTTTCATTTTTAAAATTATATGGGCTAAGAAGTTTAACTGCTACTATTAAGTAGCAAACATGGCGCTTCTATCAACAACAAGCTCCAAGCCATGATTGCAACCACATATCCCCCTCAGATATTGTAAAGAACTTCCTGAATGGTTTTTGTTCAGCATACATAGCGAAGTTTGGCTAACATATTTTGCATCACTAATCAGCTCTCACCATGGCCGAATTAGAGGAATGTCGGTTGAGATCATGATTGCCTATTTGGCTGATTCTGATAGCTGATCGATCTTTCCATCTCTACTTTGATCTGATTGGTTAGAGCAGAAGAAAACCCTTGTGACATACGCTATTTGACCACTTCGAGTTAAACCGTTTTCAAATTAGTGTGCTTGGAGCACTCAAGACAAAACACAACTGTACAGGGCGCTTAAAACGCGAGGTACCCAGTGATCAAAATGTACTGCAAAAACATAAAATTTTGCAACTAACTCCTAGTGCATATAGTTCTGCTCACTTAACTCTCCCGACTGATCTGCGGGGCTATTTTAGCAGGTCACTGTGTTTCGGGTGAGTGAGTTTGAAGCCCAGTGTGGAGGCTGAGAGGCTGAGGGTGCCGGAGCTCAGAGCTTGGTGTTGATGGGGGTGTGAATGCCATCTCCAGAATAAACACCATTTGTTTTTTCACTCTTGAGTGATCATTTACATGGCGGCACACTCCGCCTGCATCTCTTTCTCCACGTGCTCTTTTATAATGAACAGCAAACAGTCTGAGATGGAGGTTTCGTTCAAAAGCAAGCTTATGAAAAGAGATTCGGAGGTTTGCTGTTCATATCACAAACCATTAACTGTGACAGATTGGATCAAATAGCATATAACATCACAGAGTGTATGAGAGGTGTTCCGGCAGTGGGGTGCCGTTTGTTTTCCATTATTATATTTCAGATGTAAACGTGACTATAATGTAAAAATCAAGCATGAGCTAGAATGAGTTTTAACATTTTTTGAAGTTTCAGTCTGATTTGTGTGTAAAAGTTTGGATACACCTGACTGAATAGTTTTCATACTTACATATTACATGACCTAATGCTTAGATGGTTGAAATTTGCCTCTAAGACGAATATAACTAGTAAAGTTAATGCCCCTGTGTTAGTGCACAATCGATATGAACATTTTGTGGCTGATTCTGATACTGATTTTAAGGTATTAAAAGTATGGTTTCAGATTTATATTTTAGATCGCCAGTTGTCATCTGTCACATTTTATGAACAGAAATAACCAGCAGAAACTCTTACGTCCTAAATATTTCTTCGTGATTTTGATTTATGTTAACTGCTTTATTATTTTTTTTCTTCATAAAGATGTATTATAACATGTTATTCACATGCTAAAGTGCTAATATGCTAATATTGTACATGTTTTTGTTATTCTAACCATAATGCTATATTTTTTCATATATATTGGTATATTTGTTCATCAGGGGAATTGTGCTGATTTTTTGAATAATTTCTGCATAATTTAATTGTTGAGATTAAAACAAAGATAATGAAGATATTTCATATTCATGAAATGGTTTATTGTAGAGAAACTTACCAAATCAGATTTCTATAATTGTCTTCTGAGTTTGAAAAGTTTGTACTAGAGTGCATTAAAGCATTACTGTATGTACTGTTCTGCCATGAATGGATTTTTAAAAATATGGTTTAGGCCAAAACGTTATCTTAAAACCAGGCATCAGGAAATGTATTCATAACCATATCATGCAATGAATTTTAGGGAGGTAGCTTTTAGAGACATTAAATATTTTTTTGGATGTCTGGTTACCTTCACCACTGCGAACAATTCTCAATATAGTATTCTAACTAATCTGAATGATTTTATTTAAATTTGAATGATGCATTGTTGAAATGTTAGAGAATCAATGGAATTTGTCTTTATAGAGGGGGTGATTTTCCCTGGGTTCTTTTCGCTCTGTCATCTGGAGATCACATGTTGTTGATTATATGCAAAATTATTAAACGAGTAAAAGTGTGGTTTTTCAGTACTGGCCAATATATCTGCCTAACCAATATATTGGTCAGGCTGTACTATGTAAAACATTTTTTTTAAATGCTGCCCTGTGAACAGTACTTTTCTTTTAGAACTTCAGTGAAATTTACAGTTGGAAATGGTGAACCACAAATATTGTATCATCTTAATTACTGAGTACAAGTTACTTTATGGAATGTCTGTCCTTGTTATTGTGTCTGTTCTTGTTACTGTGTTGTGGTTTGGTAGAGGGACAATATTTCTGATGCTAGTAATTCCAGCTGTGTTATTTCATATTTGTAATATCTTCACTGTTATTCAAAAATTTGGAAACATTAAAAATAAAGGTACACCCTTCTATGACTAGGTGTGTTCAAACCTAAGATGGGTACTGTGTATGTTAAGCTTTTTTCATGTTGTGTCTAGTTTGAGGACACAGTCGTTGCCCTCTCAGTAATGCACAGTAACCGCTAAATTAAGTTATTCCTTTGAGCAGTAGCCATGTTGTTATTGTGGAGATGAACAAGGCCTGCTTTGTTTCGCTAGCCTATGCTATGAACAGATTAGCTCAGTCGAGGACACCTCAGGACATGCAGATGATGTCATGCGACAGGATGCTGCTCGACACCGACGTAGGAAGTGATGGCCCAGATTGGGGACATAGGCCTTGCTGGTCCTGAGAGGCATTTTTGAGAGATCGTCTCCATGGTTATGGGGACGTGAGTGCACAACTTCCTGTGTTTTGCTGATGCATGTCTTTTTTCCGTGTGTTTCAGAACTCAATGAATCTGCCCCCGGACAAAGCTAGACTCCTCCGCCAGTACGATAATGAAAAGAAGTGGGACCTTATCTGCGACCAGGTGGAATATTTTATTGTGACCTACATAGAACTTCATGACAATGACTACATGATAATCACCATTGTTTTGCTCAATATTGAAATGGTGATTATTTAGGAACAAAATAGTCTTATTGCACTTTTATCAGTCCACAGAAACACAGACTTTCCTTCCACATTGTGCACTATGAGCTGTTTTCCCAAACAGGGATTAAGCCTAGTCATCTACTATAATTTCCTTTCAATGGAAAATTTCCATTTGAAATCCCAGCTTTATCCCAGGAAACTGGCCCTAAATACCTATATTTGTTCAAAATTGTACATCTTTCAATCAAAATAAGAATAATTAAGTGCATCTCAAACAAAATTAGACTCAAAATAAAATAATAAATATGCCATAACAGTACCAAATAGAAAGCCATACAAACATAAAACAGAAATAGAAAAGCCATACAAACACAAGCCTGTCAATATGATATGAATTAATGCACCATAGTCCATAAAAACTGAAATCTAATGTTAGCCAATTGGCTAATTTTAACCAAGTTCCCCAATGTATTGGTCAGTCATGTTTGATTAATTGTGGATGGTATTGAAAAAGCGTTCTTTGACTCTTAACAATAGTGAAACCCTTTTTAGTGCTATATAGTAATCATTTCTTAAAGAACCATTCCCAAACTGGTTTTCCATCATAGCGAAGAACTATGTGACCATGCAAAGAGCCATTTCTGCATTCAGGTGGTTCTTTGAGTGTTCATTTTTCTATATAGAACCATAGCCTTTACTGAAGAACTCTTAAAGAATCTACATTCAGTGTGTTAACCCCATTATCTGTGTTAGATTTGATATTGTCTATAAAAAGATACACTCAGCACTGAATTAACATGTAACTTTCTGAAGAGACCAAAACACTTTGTGATGAGTCATGCAGAACAACGACAGATTTATACATCGTTACCCACAGAAAAGCATGTGTATGTTATGCCACAGTGCAGTATGCTGTGTTTGCAATGCAATGCATTTAGAATTTAATAAAACCATAAGAAGGACAACGTCTTGTGTAATGTTCATGTTCTTATAATAAGCTTTAGTGGGCCAGAAAACAGTGAATCATTTGATAAATCTAGTCTCTCACTTAGTAAATTAGGAAAGCTGAATTAAGAAAATCCATCATTAAATGGCATTAACACTAAAGAGGATGACTAAATGAGTTCCACGAAATGTGATAACTTCATTAATGTTTGTCTGTCCATGTCTGCTTGTGTTTCTCTATACTGTGTACTAGGAGCGCTTCCAAGTGAAGAACCCTCCACACACATACATTCAGAAACTGAGAGGCTTTTTAGACCCAGGAGTTACTCGCAAGGTAAGGCGGGACACACAGTTTATGCCTGTTAAATTGCATGTGAATGACTGCTGTCAAAGATATTGTGTTAGTAACACATTAAGCACATTATTATTAGTGCATTTTCTTTCAAGTTTAATGCATTGCACCTTCGGTAGACTGCTCTAGACAGTGCTCACAGTATGCTCATTGATAAATTAACAAGCAGTGAACTAACAAAAGCAATAGCAAAGTGGGACGCTCCAGGAAGCAGGACGTAACAGGAATCCAAAAGCTCTACACAGCTTTGAACTATTGTACGCATGTAAAATTATTAAAGTTACACACTGACTTTGGGACACATTTACTTTAAAACAATGAGATCTATTTGCTGACCATGTGGCCATGAGGAACAGGGATGCAGTCTCACTTCCTGCTCTAAAATGCAGGGAGTGTGGCTAAAATATGGCCCTGCCAATGGACTAAAACTCCTTGTGTTTCAGTAGGGACATGAAAATGTATTTTTTTTTTATTTAAAAATTAAATCTAAATCTTTTAACTTCACTTTAAACAAAAAAAAACATTAAAAAAACTGTAGCCTCCTCCCTGTATAAAGTACCCTATAAATGATGGTTTCTTATATATTTAGCTTATTACTGTGCCAGTTGTCTTGATCTCTTGGGTTTAAATAGATCAATAATATAATTCTTGTAAATATCTAAGATCTAAATACTTAATAGTTTTTTTAAATAGTTTTTTTACTGAGGGGCTGCAGTCCGAATTAATTTGTAGTAGTAGTAGTGCTCATACGCTTATTGGTTGGAACATGCAACTGGAAACTGCTTTTACTCTATAGAAATCATGTGATTTTCATGTGAACTTCATGTGAACTTCATGTGAACTTGCATTCATACAAATAATGTTATTTAATTGTTGAAAATAATAAATATATTCTGTTGAAACCCTTTCTGTACACTTATATAGCACTATGTATACCAATACATTGCTTTTAAATGGAATAAAGTCTTTCTTTAGGGTCATGTTTGAGTCAGTGACACGAATGTGATTAATCGTGATTAATCATTGTTTTAGAGCCCCAGTATTAATATAGAAATATAATTATAATGTAATATGCAGTCTTTCTCAGCCAAATGACATCCTGCAATGCAATAAAGAAATCTTACTACATTCATAACAAACCAGCTCTTTTCAGACAGTAGGCCTTGTTTCTTCCTCTGTAATCATAACTGTTGCTTTTCATGCCTTGAGGTCATTTCTCTTGACTCATTTTGGCTACTACGGAGAGATAACTACTGGCATTGTGTTCCTAACACGCACTATGTTTCTAACATTCTCTGAATGCAAGGCTCCGTGGTGTTTCAAAAGATTTTTTTTTGTTGTCTGATAAAAAATCAGCTCTTTCTCCCTCCGCAGAAATTCCGCAGGCGGGTTCAGGAATCCACCAAAGTTCTGAGAGAACTGGAGATATCACTGAGGACCAATTACATCGGGTGACTTATTGTCTCTCTCTCTCTCTTTTTCTCTCTCCTCTCCTCATCTGCTAATCCCTCCTCTCCAAGTCTCTCCATCTTAAGCTGATCCCTTTCAGAGGTCAGGCTGTATCAGTGTGCTGTTGGTCTGTCTATAACAGCACCTCTGGCAGCTTCAGGTGGTTAACCAGCTCCAGTGCAGCATAAGGTTTTAGAAATGGTACAGGGAACGGAAATAAAAACCAAATGGGTTATAATATTTTTCACAGAAATTAATTGAAAACAGGTACACAGTTGAAAACTGGTTAACACTTTAATGTAGGGTACTGTTCATAAGGCTATGTGACGCCTACATAAGCTTGTCATGACAATTGACATAACCCTACATAAATGTTTATAAATGCTTATTCCAACATGTGTCATCTGTCATAAAGACTACTTTAGCTACCTTTGATCAAAATTGGCAAATGTAACTTTTGTAGCAAATTACACCTATTGGAATAAGCATTTATAAACATTTATGTAGGGTTATGTCAGTTGTCATGACAAGCTTATGTAGGTGTCACATAGTCTTATGATCAGTACCCTACAGTAAAGTGTTAATGGAAACTGTAACTATTTTAACCGGTCAATACTCCAGCATTTTGTGCCCAGTAAGTAGCGTATTAGTTGTATGTTAGTCAAAATAAGTTGAATGAAATTGAAACATTATTAAAGAGGTATTCTACTGATTTTTAAAAATGTCTGTATAGTTCAGTCATTGAGATAAGTAAGTAGTCGTTCAGAGTGGTTTGATGTGTAGTGGTCCATTGTAGAGAATTTTACCAAATCAGATTTCTTTACAGTGGGTGATAGGAACCAGGAGTCGTGATCCAGCATGCAAAATTTGAACCCTCCAGTTGTGTTGATATGTCACTTCTCTTCAAATTTCAGTGCACAATTTTTCTTTATTTGCTGAGTTTAATATATTAGAAAACTTTTGCACAGGCCACATTTTACGTTTTTTTCAACAATATATAATAGTAATAAACAGTAATTGTGCATTAAATTGTGCATTAAGTGTGTAGAGGATGTGAACTTATATTCACTTAGAAAATCAACAAAACATGTCATTTGCATTAGCATACAAATGTATGTAGTTTTACTTATTACCCTAAATGACCATTGAACCTACAGGTGTCCTCTGAGTTTTTATATGTATTGTTGATAATGATAAAATAGTTTTCTTTGCATACTCTTTTGCTACATAGTGAGCTGCATGTACCTCTCCACCATGAATGGCTTTTAAAAATACATTTTAGACCAAAATCTTATCTCAAAACTATTATAAAACAGTGTTTCAGACATCAGGCAGCATATTTATAGCCAAAAACTGTACTAGCTTTCTGGGAGTTAGCTTTGGTTCCCGCCTGGTTCATATCAGCACCACTGTGAACAATTCTGGCTTCTGATTTTCATTCCCTGTTTGCCATTTCTCCTTGGTGTCTGGTGCTCCCTGGGTGGTAGCACTGTCAGTGCTGTGCTAGTAAAGCAGGTTTCTATTGTTGTTTCCTTTTTCAGGAATCATTATTTCTTTGTCCTTCCTGTTGTAGAACATTGGCCGGAATAGTTGCCAGTGCCCAGATCCTGGTGGTTCTGCCAGCCTTTCCGTGCTGCAGAGGTCTGTGTGTGTGTGTCTGTGTGCGGACTTCAGCAGTGCCCAGATGGTTTTCATTGTGCTCCCCCACCGGCTGTTTTAGCCAGCAGGAAGTTGTGCTGTGCATGCTGGAGAGTCAGGAAGCACGAGCATCCAACAATGGAGTGTGTGAAAAGGCAGAAAACACTCACACATACGTTCGTGCACACCAGTGACTCACACACGAGCACAAAACAAATACACAGATAGACAAAAGCATGCCACACACGAAGAGAAACAATGAAACATACACACAATTTCAATTCATGCATACAAACACATGCTCTATGCATACAATTGCTGGAAAAACCACAGTCTGACCAGATTTTGGACAGATCCTCAGAGTAGGAGTGGCCAATATGACAATATTTACTTTTATTGTGATAAATTATATCACAGTATATCACCATATGCTTTTGTGACTGTACTGTGGATATTGTCTGTACTTAGAGAACATTGCCCAACTGCATGTTTCATTGCAAAGAGAGCAACATTAGGCATGTTTAAGTGCATTCAATGCAGTGCAGAATGACGTGTTGAATGCAAATCATTAGCCATGTTTACATGCAGCCTGATCATTCGTTAATAATCCGACTAATAGCTCAATTAGAATAGAACACATCCATGTATACACATCATTTAGCCTAGACTAGTCCGATTGGGCCATTCGGAATACAGTTTCTATCTGATTGACCGAAGTGGGTAATCCTGTAAATAATCTGTCGAACAGAAGAATAATAATCATGTAAACACCTGTATCTGATTACATTCACAATCGTAAAGTATAAGTGCGTTCTGCGCATGTGCGTTCTCGTCATAGCGAAAGTTTATAATGTTCAACATGGCGGGAGCAGAAACTGGTCTGCAGAGGAGACGAAGTTTTACGCTTTGAACTTTAAAAGACAGCAGTGGGACGGGTGTCCAGTTTATGTATCTCGGAACATGACGTCTTCCTCTCACCCTTCTTTAACAGGTACATGTGAAGTATGTTTTCCTAAGTCTGCCATATTTTTAAAGCGATGAAAAACACAAGTGCGGCAGCTGAAAACTCAGGCAAACACACTGCTGCTCGTTTCACACTGACTGGACTCACGTGATGCTCGTTGTAATGGTAACGTCTACACGAAGTGGTACTCTACGCATGCGCATAATTTTAATTGGGATTAATTGTGTGCTTGGAAACGGTGGTTTCCTTCAGATTTTTGAGTAGAGTGAGTGTATAAACACCTCAGTCTTAATCTATAATCAGAATTTATTCAGTCGGCTTGGCAAAAATCTTTGCATGTAAACACAGTGATTGTATTCATAGTTTTTGAAAGTATTTTTTTACAGATTATCAGATCTTAGAAAAGTCAATATCATAAACATTTCTTGAAGTATTATAATATATATTTGCCACATCACCTTCCATTACTATATAGCTGTATTGCCTCTATATAGGAAGCTAGTCTCATGTTAATGAACAGTGTTAAGGTAGTTACTCAGAAAATCTGTAGTGTAATCCATTGTAATCCATAACAAATTATTAGTTACATTTCTCAAAATGTAATGGGAATATTTTCCTTATTATTTCCTGGAGAAAAAAGTAATCTCACTGCTCATTACTTCTAAGTTAATCTCTAAAATCCATACAAATATGTACCAACTACAAATTTGTATATATTTTATTTGGAAAAAATAGCCAGTCAGAGTAAACATCATTTAAAATGCATGTTACTATCCATGCCTTTAGGTCTGAATGAATAAGAGCCCAGCCAGTAGTGCTGTCGCCTCACAGCAAGAAGGGCCTGGGTTCGATTCCCGGCCGGGTGACAAGGGTTCTTTCTGTGTGGAGTTTGCATGTTCTCCCCGTGTCTGCGTGGGTTTCCTCCCACAGTCCAAAGACATGCAGTCAGGCCAATTGGAGATGCTTAATTGCCCCTAGGTGTGTGTGAGTGAAAATGTATGTCGATGGACTGGCGGCCTGTCCAGGGTTTTTCCCTCCCTTCTGCCCAGTGACTGCGGGGATAGGATCCAGCAACCCCCATGACCCAGTAGGGCAAGCGGCTTAGGTAATGCATGTGTGCCTTGAGATAAAGGGTTCTTTCACACCTTCCTTTTTTGATGTGGCCTATTCTTTAGTTCAGTCCATTTTGACAGGTGTGAACATGCCACCCGTACTTGGGTGCACACTGAACAAATGAACCAAATAAATCGTGGTCCAGCAGGGCCTCAGTTTGCTTTCACATGAACCCTGATTCAGTTCGCTGCTGCTGGAAATGCATTTTTGTTGTCATCAAATGAGGGAATTCAACATCAGAGCATGTTTTCCTGCTTCTTCTAGCAGCATGTCAGTGCTGTACTGTCCTGTTTTAACGTCTGGCTCTTGTTAGACGGTCATATCTTTTATTAAGGAAGTAACTGTCATGTGATTACAAGAAGTTAAACTGTAATGTGTTACACTGCTCCGTTACAGGAACAAGTAATTACATTACTGTAACGTAATTGGTACTGCATTAACCCCAGCACTGTTCATGAAGTGCATTATAACCAGCATAATTGTGAGCCAGGCACATGCAAAAATGTTAAAACTGCAATGTCTTTCTACTCAATCTTAGTTCTAAACGATTTAGGGAAAATATCAAATTGTGATTTTTCTAACCAATATTGTAACTGAGATTGAAATCATGATCATTTTACATAAATTGAAGTCCAGGTGTGTTTTTTTGGCCATGAAGACCAGCATATCCATATTTTTCTGGTTTGAGGCTTGAATGCTGAATGTAGTGCACCAGACACTCAGATAGCTGTGGCTGTATTGTTGTGTTGTCATGGTTGCTTTTGTTTGGTCTAACTCATCTCATCTGCACAAAGTTTAATTAACATAGATTTTATTTTGATATAAAAATGATTAATCTTTCAGTCCTATCTAATGTTTCTGTCTGTCTGTAATATGGTCAATAGTTTTGGCCTCTTTCCTCAAGCAACTGTTTCTCTTCTGTTCTGCGTTGAAATGATTCTCCGTGGTAAATTGACACAATATATGCTAGAGAAGCGCCAGATAGAGATTAAGCTGAGAATGGTGGAGTATTCCTTTAATGATTCATCCAGTGTACTAGACAAAGACTTGAACCCTGCCTTTGTGTTCACAGAAGGCCATAAATAATGCCTACGCTCCTTTTCCTCGTCAGTAAAAGTGATGCATTTCCCACAGAGCAGGAGGAAAAGAGCGGCTGGGCTATTTTCAGACACTTTTCTTTGTGGTGGGATGAAATGGAACAGAGGTTATTGCCCGAAAATCTGAAATAGCATCTGGCAGGAAAAGAGCGCACGGGGGGAAAGAGGAGGGGGAGGAGTGGCAGACAGGAAACTGATGATCAACTCAGCTCTCTACCTTTTCAATCTCTGAAGTCTGTTTGTCTTTCTGTACTACTCTCCCAGTCCTGCTCTCTCTCTCGCTCTCACTCTTTCTCTCTCTCTCTCTCACTGGCTCCTCTCTCTCTCTCTCTCTCTCTCTCTCTCTCTCTCTCTCTCTCTCTCTCTTTCTCTATCTCTCTCGCTCACTCCTTTCTCTCTCTCTCACTCGCTCTATCTGTCTCTCTCTGTCTGTCTCTCTTGCTCATACTCTAATTCTTTCTCTCTCACTTTCTTGTTCTATTATTCTGTCTCTAATTCTCTCTATACATATTTAGTTTTCGTTTACTCTGCTTCTCTCTCTTTCTGTCTCTCGTTCATTCTTTTTCTCTTTCTTGTCAGTTTGAGTCTCTCTCTTTCTCTATCTTACTTGCTTACTCTTTCTAACTCATTTTCTCTCATTTTATTATCTTAATATTGCAATTTAGAGTGGAGATAAAAATAATAATTCAGGAAAACATGAATGTATTTACAAACAGGGCAGTAAACGTCCTACAGCTCCTTTTGTTGTGTTTCCCTCTCACTCTCTCTCTCTCTCTCTCTCTTTCTCTCTCTCTCAGCTCTTTTTGTGGTGTGGTGTAGCTTCCTTTCAGGCCAATAGCAATAGTGCAGTTCTACCAGTAATCATTCCAATGTGACTCGGCATGTGTGTATGTATGTGTGTGTGTGTTTGTGTGTGTGTATGCGAGTGAGTGTGTGTGTTAGCGTCAGGGAGGCAGACTAAATTCATTGAATGTCAGGGGATCAGCCTCCTCTCCACGCTTCTCTCTCTGAGCCATATGCCCTCCACATTCTTTAGCTGAGTGCAGTGGGAATTCCTTCAATGTTGAGTTACCCCCTCCTCCTACCCCCTTTAAGGAAAAGTTCAGCTAAATGGAGGAAATCTAAAGCTGGCCACTTTTTTTCCAGACTTTCCATCTCACTCTTGCCAAGCCAGGCATTGGGGAGCCCACTGTAGGCTGCCTTTGGTTTGAAAAAGTCAGAAGATTTTTCCTAAAAGTTATTTTCCAGAGATTGTTAGTCAGTGATTGCTTTCTCGTTTGCTGCTCAATGTCTGGACAACTCTTTCTCCCTCATGTGCACTCTTTCTGCGTTACCTTCTGTGTCTCCTTTGTTTCCTTTTCTCCTGTCTTCTGGTGGAGGACTGGAGTTTGAGTGTGTTGCCCTGATTAACCTATCCGTGCCTCGCCCACAAATGTGTTCTTTCATAGTGATTGTTGCCAGGTTAGAAATGCTGCACAGAACTTTGTGCAAATCTCACTCAACGTAATATGACTTTGGAGAAATTTTAGATTTTTTGGCACAAGACTTCAGAAAGCTTATAGGGAAAATTCCAGCATTTTTCGACATTGCTGCACAATTCCAGAGTTGAGATGTAAACTAAGTCATTCAGAGTGATTCGATATAAAATGGTACATTGTAGAGAACTTACTAACTCAGACTTCTTTACAGTGGGTGGTGATAGGAACCAGGGAGTGCAATGTTGGCAGTCCCAGATGACCACAGAGCCTACGTGTGTCTTCTGGGTTTATATATGTAACTTGGATAATGGTGAATTAATGGGAAAACCAAAAAAAAAAATGTTTTCTCTAAAACCTATTGTAAAACACTGTCTCAGCCATCAGACATCTTATTAGTAGCCAATTACTCTAATAGCTTTCTGTGAGGGAGCCTTTAGAAGCATTAACTTTTCAGATATCTGGTTCCTATCAAAACCACTGTCAAAAATTCTCAGGCTGTTTCTCTAGAATGAAGCATTTCACCTTAAACCACACTGAAAGACTTTGTTTAGATCAGAAAAATTGAATTATGCTGAAATTTTGAAACATCATTGGAATTCCCTATTAGGACAGCTGATGAAATGTCTGCTTAGTCTATCAATCAGATGTTTAGCAGAAAGTTCACTGGCCTCTGCAGTTCAGTGGGGTTTTCAGCAGCATCCTGTAAAGCTTCTCCAACCTTGCAGCAGTATGGCTATGAAAGAGTACATTTGTGGGTGATGCATGGATAAGTCAGTTCACAAGTCTAAGATCAATTTCCACAACCTGTCTGAGCTCAGTTGATGATTTTTTTGTGTCTTTGTCATGGCAGGTGGGTGCGGGAGTTCCTAAACGATGAAAACAGAGGGCTGGACATATTGGTGGAGTATCTCTCCTTTGCTCAGTGTGCTGTCATGTGAGTCACACCACAGATCTTCACACACAGTATACCATTTCATCAGGCACACAGATAGAAAAAGAAAAGCAGAAGTCCGAGGCTACATATATCTCACAGGGTTGATGTGGCCCGTGATAAAGAACTGAAATTTTTGTGTGGGTCACACTAATGACGGATATGGGTCATTTACGAACAAATGTAAACCATTAAGGCAGAAAGATTCGATCTGACAAATCAGAATTGAGCAATAAGGCTTATATTACAGGGGTCAGCTCTGCCCCTGGCCCCAGCATTTCAATTTTGTCCACTAAAAATGCAGAGCCTGGACCCCAAGAAGTCCATTGCCTTATAGATTTTATTTTGCATTTATTCCTTTTAACATACCAGCAACTAGTTAAATTTTCATGTTTACAAATATCCATTAATAATGAAACAACCACATTTCACCCTCCCAGAACCAGTCTGTTTGGCTGTGGAACTAATTGCGTCAAATCTGATTTTGTCAGAATTCGTAAACTGTAATGTTAATGTGTCCACCATGATAGCTGTCCTTATAGAAAGTGACAAACTATTTCTAGAACTCTGAGCATATCCTCATAGCCAGTTATGATAACTGGTTCATTAAAATATGGCTTTACTGTCAGTGGCATTGCAGACAATAATTAAAAAATTAGAAAGCTCAGATTTGAGTATGAGTGTTTTGGAGTATAATTTCGATAGAGAAGTGAAGTTCTGTTGAGTGTGTCGTCAGTTTTCATGCCAGGTAGACACCACAATTTCATTCTTTACTGAGAGTAACTAATTTAGAAAACATAATATTCAAAAGCACATGTGTATCTTTCAACACGACTGCTGATATAGCTCAGTGATCTTCAGTGATCCATCTAACAAACATGCAGTGCATGTTGATTAAAGCCTGATGTAGACGGAGGTGGATCAGTGGAAAGTTTCTCTTTATTTGCTTAGTTTAACATATTGGAAAAAAACCCATAAAATATAAACTGTGTCACGTTTTGCACAGGCCGCATTTTATATTTTAGTTTTTCCAGTATGTTAAATGCAGCAAACAATAACAGTGCATTAAAGTGTGCAGAAGTGTGTTCTCTTATTATTGTCTTATTTTTACTTACAAAATCAACAAAAAGTAGTATATGACTGTAACTGTCTTCGCTTTACTTATATTGTGTGTATAGCCATGGAGTCTCAACTACCACACATGTCCAGAATTGGTCCACAGAGCAGACCAAGATTCATTCTTCTGATATGATGCTGACTGGAATGTGGTTAATGTGCTTTGTGGGTGAGACATGGTTTTGCTGGTAATAACCTGTTGCAATAACCTGCAGGGCTGTGCTGGGGAGTGCTTTGCTGAGTCCTGCTGAGCTATAATAATCCTGAATGGTGCTCAGCTGCTGTGCAAAATAACATTGTTCCCCCTTTATTGAGCTTCGTCGCTAGCGCTCCTCAACCTTACCCCGATCCCCTTGTGTCTGTGCTTCTGTGTGTGTGTGCACGGCTCAGGTTGGATTTTGAAGGGCTGGACAATGGGGATGATGGCTCACTGGACAAGACGAAGTCCTGGAGCAGGTCCATCGAGGATCTGCACCAGAACGGCTTCGGTACACTGGTGCGCTCAATGCGCCACTCCGTTCCGCGGTAGGTATCATGGGTAACATAGTCGTGGCCGTGCCAGCACCCGCTGTTCTGCTCCCCTACACCTCCTCACTGCTTTCTTTTTTTTTCCCAGCTTTGGATATACAGTCGTATTTAAAAATTTGAACACCCCTGGTCGAATTACCTTCATTTTGTTATTTTCTATGGGAAAAAATGTACAGGGAGATCCTAAATATGTTCCCGGTGGTGCCACAGCCATCTGTGGCCGGGAGTCCAAGAGAGCACAATTGGCCTCACTCTCTCTGGGTGGCTAGGATGGCACTCCCTCTCTTCCAGTCACTCAACACGATGCTAGTGAGCAAAGGTGTCTGATAGACTAAATTGAAGAGAAAATTGGAAAAATTGAAAAAAAGAACACAACATGTAAAACTTTTGAATACAACTGTATGTATCTGCTTATGTGTCTCACCTGATAAAGCCTCTAGAGAAACAGACTCTATATGCTCTGTGACGACACTAAATGTGTGGTATTTTTGCACTTGTTTCTTATTTAAAATCCTACTGAGAACTCAGTGTTGTAACCATTGGTTTCACTTTGTAATGCACTTGAATGTGTAGTTCATCATGTTGATGAGCCAAGACTGTCTGAAGTTTGCTTCTTTAGTTTTGTACTGGAGCTATGAAGATTTAGTGTAGTTAAGTAATAGAAGTTAATACCCTAGCAGGTAGCTGTTTACTTGCCTAAATAATCACAGCCTTGTCTCCAACTGTGTGAAGCTGTTAAGCAATCTCAAAATAGACTGGTTTATGTGGTTTGTAACACTGTATGACATACTGTTATCTATAAAAATGGACAGAAGTACATGTTGAAGCCTGAATTTTGTCTGTACTTTTGTCCATTAATTTTGAAACAGAATATTCAGGGGTGGAAAAGACTTTAGTACAGATGCTCTACAGGAACTACATGCACGTGAAGCATTCCTGGCATGTTTATGAACAGTACAGTAACACTTCATTACAAGTACATAATCATTTTGAAGCATTCATTTGATGCATTCATTAATGAGTAACAAGCATATAATGCAATGATCAGTGATGTGTAGTGTGTATGTCATGATATAATCATGAACAGATTAAAATCTATTCATATGATGAACGGTCTATGATACAAAGCACACGAGAAATTCAAATTACATTTATCATTGTTCAAAGAGTTTGTGGTCATAAAGCATTCATGATTGATATGAAATCTAATTTTTAATATGCTGTAAAATTGCATTATCCTACATTCAGGATGATCACCTTGTGAAATGTTAGCGAATATGAAACACTTGCACAGATTCTTGTAATCTGTATGAATGTAAAATATTACTAATTTATATGACAAATTCTAAGACAAAAAACATACTTTTTACATGTTCAGAGGTTTGATTACTTGAGTGCAAATCTTGAAGGCCAGAAGAATTTTCTTTTTCTATTTCTGAGTTTCCACACATTATAATTTGTTAAATGAATTTATTAGTTAATTTATTAAACTTTTGAGCCTAATTTATACCTATGAAAGCCATATTAACAGTATATTGCAATATGTACTGTTACTGGTACATATATTTCAGTATATTAACATAGATTGAGATACAACATATATTGAGATATTTAAATGTTCAAAAATGGCACAGTTGAACATATTTAGCACACATTCTTAAACATCACATATATTGCACAAATATTTTTAATATGGGCAAATATATGTACGCATGTTTTTTCTTATTTCGCTTAGTTTCTTATAGTTTGTAATCTGTGGTACATGATCAGCTTATGCTCAGCATTAAAATGCCTGTAATGTAAAAATGTCCCGTTACAATATTTACTTTTACTTTTTTTATACTTGAGTACGTTTCCTTTTTCATTTCCAACAAGTATGTTTTTTTCTCCATGCTTCTACATTTGAGTAAAATTTGAAGTACCCATAGTGTAACATATGTATAGCTTCTTTGTTGTTTGTTAGCTGTATTAGCCCCATAGGTTCTGTACAAAACGAAAGATGCCAACGTCAGACACCAAACATGCCCAGGCTGTTTGACTACTTCGGGCAGGGTAAAAGTTGTGTAATTTTGATTTTTGTCTATGTTTCAGTCACTTTGAAGCTACTTCCAGTCACAACCTAAGCAAACTATGTTGATTATCTGAGCTCAGCACACAGGAAGCATGTGACACGCTCCCTCGTTCTCCTCAGGGTGCAAAGCACGCAACAGAACCACATTGTCTCTCAGTGTGTGTGTGCGTGTGTATGTATGCAGGAGAAGTACATCTCTGGTGGCTGACACACTTGCAGTCGCGCCAGTCAAACCCAGATTCCGATATACAGCCCACTGAGCTGAAACCGCACTTCCTGAGAACAGCGCATGCAAATGATGAACTGAAACATCTTTTTAATGTAGCATATCATCACTGCCCAAAAACCATGTATCTCCATTTTTTTGTACCTCGTTTGAGCTGCTAGGATTATGTGAACATTTCATGATAAATGGGTCAATAAAAATGCTCTAAAATGACTAGGAATTAAGTCTCTTTACATGAAGTTAGACTAAAGGTTAAGAACGTGTTTACCTTCTCCTGTAAAGTTACCATTTTGGAGATACATGGTTTAAAACAATTTTCTAATGTGTCAGTGTCACTTTTCAAACTCATTCTGTGTGGTTTAATATGAAATGGTCTGTTCTAGAGAAACTTACTATCTCAAAATTCTTCACAGTGGTGGTGATAGGAACCAGACGTCTGAAAAGTTTAATACCTCTTAAAGCTCCCTTACAGCAAGAAATTATATGAATTCGTTACAAATATGATGCCTGAGGCATTGTTTTATGATAGTTTTGATATCAGGTTTTGGCCTAAAACATTTTTTTAAATGCATTCATGGTGGAGAGCTACTTGTAGGGAATTAGAAGACAATATACTCCCCAACTAAAACCTATTTTTTCTGATTTATAAGTAATTTACCATCCTTATCAATATTGCATATAAAACTCAGAAGACAAAAAAAAGTGGCTACACTTGCATTGTTGACAACACAACTTCTGGTTCCTGTCCTCATCACTGTAAAGAAAGTCAAATAGATAAGTTTCTCTACAATGAACCATTTCACATCAAACCACTCTGAATGACTTTGTGTGAAGTTCCTTGCAGAATTCAGACTTGTCTCATGTCACGTTTTATATTGTTCATTGCAGCTACAGTTCGGCAACAAACACCAAAACCATCAAGAACTCCCGGCTAGTTAGTCAGAAGGATGACGTGCACGTGTGCATCATGTGTCTGAGAGCCATCATGAACTATCAGGTACTTCACACAGTGATAGGAACATTTGCAAAAGCCTTGTCTGAGAAATTATGTCACCCAACAGTCCATCTCCCCCTGGTGGTTGTACAGTAACATAAACACAAATACAAGCTGGTATTTAACATGCATGCATTAAAGCTCACTTGGCAGTCAGTCCACACAGAATCAGTCGGTTTCACTTTATAGATCTCTGAAGTGTCGTCATTCTGTAGTCAACATCATCAAGTCCCTATGAGGAACTCTAAGCACATTTCCTCTATGGGGAAAAATGAATGCCATTTTTGAAAATGGCTGCCACTGTGCCCTGTGGTAAACACAAACATTCCAAAGGGAATTTTCTTTAAATGTCACTGGATTTTCTGTATTACACCATGGTTCAGAAGTGGAAATAAGAGTATTGTTGCACTGCTGCCCATTAAACTGACATTTTAAGACTGGCAACCTCACCAAAATATCCCAAGAAAACCAGCAAGCTTTGCGAAAATGTTTTGAAGTAGCTCGGACAGTTTAAAGTGTATGGTTTCAGTAAATGGTGTTGGTATGTAATAGTGTTGACATGTAGATTCATTTTCATGAAAATCAATCCTGAAAAAAGGAGTGCTTCTTTGTAGCATGTGCAGCGCTCAAAATTTGTTTTGGGATACTCTCTGAAAAAGTTTGTCTTGTTTATTTATCACTTGTTTTAGTTAAATTTGTCATGTATTCATTCGTATCCATCAGAAAAGTAAAACAAGCCGCAATAACAACCACAAAACTCAAAATGTCATAAATGAATTAACTGAAAACGTAGGTCAGGCGAGTAAAAGTACTGAAACATTAGTAGTACCAAGAGAAAATATTTTTTGTCAGATTAATTCAACTCAGTATGCATGTTTTCTTCATGTCGTAATTTTTCAGAACGGTAATGAAGTTTAGATGATGCGTTGGCGATCTCTGAGTTAAACACGTATGCATTTAGATTAGTGTCCCAAATTTGTTTCAAAGTAAAATGGGGAGTTGGGTGAATGTTTTCTAGTGTGCTATTGCTCAGTTGGACTCAAACTATTGATTAATAAGTTACTATATAGCTGTAATGATGTACATTTGAATATATTAAATCCCTTAATACACTAACAAATAACAAAATAATTCTAAAAAATAAATTCTGAAAGAAGTGTCCAAAAACTACTTTTGAACATTGTATGTAGCAATATTTGTCTTTCAACTGCTAGAACAACTTTATAAGGGACCAGTGACACAACACAAAGCATATCAGATTTAAAACATTTTTAAACATATTTACCGGCAACCATCCTTGAAATGCCATTCGTTTTTCTCATAAAGGAAACCTGATTAGACCCGACATTCCTAATATGGGCATGATGACTTAAGAATGATGCATGACTTCAGCTGTCTGTTGTGCTGGTCCTCTGCCAAACTATGTGATGTTTATCAGCAGCATTATGGCTTGGGGTAAAGATTCAGGCTTAAGTTCAGGTTTTTGGTTGAGGTTAAGCTTAGTATTAGTGTAAGTGTTTTGTTTAGGGTACGAAAAAGTTACACTGAAATTAATAGACTAATAGTTATTGCAGACCAAATAGCTAGCAAGTTTGTTATAGAGAACTTGAACTGGTGACTGAAATCATATCCCCTATTCTCCTTTCTCTCTTTAGTACGGTTTCAACATGGTTATGTCCCACGCACATGCGGTCAATGAAATCGCCCTGAGTCTGAACAATAAGAACTCACGGTAAGTAAGGCCCTTCCTTAACACCTTTAGGACAAAGGCTAATTGCATGAGCCATTAGGAGAAATTGCAGGACCTGAGAATTTGCTTGAAGGATGTGATTACCAGGTTTACTGATTATACTTTTCTGTGGACTCTAGTTTCGGCTCAGCATGGGTTTTGTATGTTACAGTGATTAACAACCTTTGTAATGAAGGCTTAGCTCTAAACAAAGCATAGAAAAGTTGCTTATGTATGGATTCCCTCAAACTTACTGCAAAAGCATATTTCTTAGCGCCCGTGCTAAACACTAATGTCACTGCTGCCTCACAGTTTGGAAGCTGTAAGTTAATAGATTTCCCCACTCACAAAAAAGATTTTAGAGGGGCTTAGATTTTTACTGTCAGTCAGTCTACATCTCAAATATGACCCACATAACAAAGCCCAACCCAGAGACAGGGGTTAGCGATCACCTCTTCATCTCATGTTACTGATTTTGAAAATTCTCCAACAATGGATACAAAGCAAGGCCTTTTTCCCTGAAGGAGAGAGGCAGGCCAGCGTAGGTGGATAATGTTTAGTCTGATGTATGACTGGTAATGTAAGTCTCCTCATTGTGAGGATCCTGTGTGAACGCTCATGGCTGCCATTGTTTTGTTCCACAGGACAAAGGCGCTGGTCCTGGAGCTGCTGGCTGCTGTGTGTCTGGTGCGAGGGGGCCATGAGATCATCCTCTCAGCATTTGATAACTTCAAAGAGGTACCTCCTTACACATCTCGTGCTGCCTTACATGTGCAATGTGAAGTCTGGGCAGTCATATTATCAAAGCACTGATAGTTGATGAGGGTGAACGCTGGCTTATTGTGCTATCGTGTTAATGCTTCTTAAGTCATATACAATGGCACAGATCTTTTTGCATCAAACAGGATGGTGGGAAAGTTTGACGCATACTCAGTGTATGATAACAATCAGTGTTTTAGTGGGAGAGAGTTGTAGCCCACATACATTTACTAAGGGTCCCAGGTTCTGCTTGCCCAGTCAGCTAAATGCCGGAAACCAGGCAATTACCCCGCACTCTGCCCCGAGCACCCAGGAGAGCTAATCAACTCAGCAGTCAAAACAATGTGGGAACCACTGCTGAGAGAGACAGAGCCATGCAGGGCAATGTGATTCACAAAGCTAAAACCACCCAGTAACCCACAGTCTGCACTTTACTCGCATGAGTTTATGACACCTAGTTTGGCAACACCCAAGATGAGAATGTTTTCTTTGTCAGTTTGCAAAAATGTAACACTGAAAGACGAACCAGTTTTATTTTGAGGAAAGTATCACAATGAACACCGCACTGTAACAGTAACCAATACATCTCCGTGAATCGACTCATTTTGGGATTGAATCCCAGCCCAAGCATTCACATTTCCAGATAAGTGTCTTGATGAATCAAGTCATTCATATAATTAAAAAAAAAATAGTATGTAATTATAAAATTATTTTGTTCAGAATAAAGCAGGACCTTAACCATTTTTCATTATCGATTTACTAGTGCATTTTAACATATCACAAAGTCTGTTGCAATCCTAATATGTAGAAATATAATCCCAATTCTAGTATTTTGTCCATATCATGCATCCCATATTTTATTTTTATTATTTATAAGGTTTATTTTGAGGAAAAGAGTATCAAGAGTATAACTGTTACAGTGGGGCATTAACAAATAATAATAATAGTAATAATAATAATAATAATAATAGTAACAAACATTTTTACAGCACTTTTTATGCCTTTTAAATATAGCTCAAAGTGCTTTACAATGGGAAAAGCACATGAAACCCAGCTTATGAGAGGAAGGGAACATAGGAAAAAATAAAAAAGCATTGAACACAAAGGGAAAAGATGAATTGAATTTGTTTATTCTAAAAATAATCATAGAAAGAGTTACCAAGTAAAAGTACCAAAATTGGTAAAACAAGAAAATGAAGCTAAAAAATTGAGATATAGAAAAAATTGAGAACAAAAAATAACACACAAAGATCATAATACAGTAAATAATTACAACATCAAATGATACAACAAATATAAAAAATACCAAAGTTAAGATTTATTTGTTAAGCTGCTTTTAATAATTGCCTGTACGAACTGTGTGTATGTATAATTTGTTTGTTTTTTTGTTTATTTTTTCTTGTCAGAAATGTATACGTTTTATTTGTATGTACGATATTATTTTTTCAAAATAAACCTGGTTAGTCTTTAATATGTTATTGCACACCAACAAAAAATATATACATATTTATTAAGTCCATTGTTTTGCTAGGTTTGTGTAAACATGGGAGTTGTATGTACTATGCATGTAAACGTTGCACAAAGTACAAGAGAGGAAAAGGGGCTAGTTTATGTCCCCCTATCAAATGAAACCGTGATATATTGAGAGATACTTTTTATGTACCCCATAATAAATTGTAATCCGCTGTAATACATTCCATTTCCATCTGTCTGCATTGCTGAATGCAGCATGTGGGAGGCTTTGGCTGGATCTCTGTGTTCCCTATTCGTGGCTTTGAAACTTTTCTTTTCCCATGAATATCTATAATTAAGCCACTGATTTTGTCTGCTAATGGCCTGTGTTGACCTCTCTCTCAGCTCTGAGCTTGAGGCAGTCTGTGACCTGATAGCCTGATGTTTTTCATATCAGGCCACTGCAGGAAACTCTTAACATACTGCTTTATTTGTGTGTTTCACTGTGGGTGACACATCTTTCAGGTTTTGAAGTACAGATTTTGGAATTCCTTGTGATTTTTTGGGGATTTCACACTGCAAGTGTGTATATTTTTGTGTGTGAGTCACATGATTAAAACCACAAATGCCTGTGAGATGTAACACGATCTGATTCGGGGAATCTAATAGTAATAAGTATTTGTGTTTACACTAAAGGTGTGCAAGGAAAAGCACCGCTTTGAGAAGCTGATGGAGTATTTCCGCTGTGAAGATGGAAACATTGATTTCATGGTAGGAGAACAGCTTCGCTGAGTGTTATCTTGAGACACATCTACCCTATTCATCTCTGAAACCTGATGTACGTGTTCTCGTGTGTTTCTCAGGTGGCGTGTATGCAGTTCATCAACATTGTTGTCCATTCTGTGGAGGACATGAACTTCAGAGTGCATCTGCAATATGAATTCACTAAACTGGGTCTGGATGATTTCCTGGAGGTGGGGAGTCAAAGTTCAATCTAACTCACTTTAATGTTCTATATTGTTATGACCCGTCTAAGGTAGGCTGCAACATAAAAATGTCTCCCCCAACTTCCCGTTACCAACCCGCCAGACCAGTCACACTCAAACACGTATTACTAGTCTCCTGAGTTTTATTATGGAATGTGGAAGCTTAAGCTTCAGGAGTGGTCTCAGCCAAAAGAACAAAGAAAATTATACCTCCCCAAATCAGCTAACTTACCTAAACAAAACAAAAATACAAAAACATAACCTAACTCCCTCAACAAAAACAAAGACAAACCCCAAAGAAAATAAGGCTACACCCCCTACAGCTTCCAATCTAGAAATCTAAGTCTTTTAAGAAAAGGCTTCACATACCACCACAGTGGACAGTTTAACACAACACAATAGACTAGCAACTACACAGAGAGTAGGCCCAACTACTCCATGCTAGAACTTCTTAGTCTGGCTGGTCTGGCAACAACATCAGGGGAAGGAGGAGGAGCCCTTAGGAACCCGGTCACTAGGCTTATAAGCTCTTGCCCTGATTGTACAGCCAATCAGTGTGCACCATTACACCTCCCTCAGCAGCAGCACCTGACGGCTATGATAGACGGGAGAGCAGGAAGCTGACGATAACGGAAGCTTGTGCAAGAGAGGAAAAAAAAAAAGACATGTAAATAATACGTCGTTGGACGTAACACCTCCATCCTACAAAATCAAACAAAATGTTTGACAGTACAGTAGAACTACACCCGTGTTAAGGCATCAGCAACTTCATTATCGATCCCTTTTTTATGATGAATGAGAGGAACAGTATGTATTTATTTGTTCGAAAAGGACATTGTAGTAAGTACAAATAAACAAATAATCAGCAGATTGTGATTTGATGTGCAGGTGTTATCTTAACCGTTTCTTAAGCTTTCAGCGAGGAATTCTGTATATACAATCCAATAGCCATCCAATAGCTAGTTTATCTGATCAATCCTTCATTAAATTAAATCAGGTGTACTGCTGATGGAATTGAATAAATCCATGCAATGGCTGGAGAACAGCGACAAGTCAGGAGAAGTTCTTCTAACTGCAATTTTCTAACCAAGAAAAAAATACTGTTTTTAAAAATGTGAAAGATGATCTTGGTACATTTGACTGTGTTTGTTTGTTTGTAGCTATTGTAACATTATATAGTTTTTTAAACGAGAAAAACACTCTTTTTCTCATTTAAAACAAGAAATTAACTGGAGAAAAAGTCTTACAGCCAAGATAAATAGCTTTAAGTTCAATGTTTTAAGACTGCTGCACAATACTGTATACCTCCTGGCTTTTGTAACAGAACCTCATGTCTACAAAATCTAGCTTCATAGGAGAAGGAAAAACTTTGATAACTCTTTATTTGGAGTGGTCCTTTGTAGATGATTAACTCTTAACAGAGTATCAGTAACACATCAACAACATATCAGTCAAGTAGCTGTAGTGAATACATTGAAGTAAATGTCCTGTAGATGTGCCGTTGATACATTACGTACATTAAGTAGATGTATTGTTAATATGTTAATTTCATTGCGCAAAACCTAACCTTAACCAACCTAATCCAAAACCTAACCCTAACCCTGGCCTTAATTCTAACCCTAACCTTAACCTCAACCCAAAACCTAACCCTAACCCTCATATGTTTTTGACATAAAGTCAGTAAAACATTTGATGCAATTATTGTAACAAGATTTTATTCATTCAGTTTCTGATGTTTTGTCATTCGGTGTTCACACAGGGCAAATGAAGGATGATGTCCAAAAAAAAAAGTTGTTTTTTACTTTTGTGCATAATTGCATTGTGTTAAAATTTCATGATAAACAGACCAATAGAGATGGTCCAGAATTACTTGTTAAATCTTGTTACATTATCTTCCATTACAAGGTTTTGATGTTTTTTTCCTTCTCCTGTAGAGTTGCCTTTTTGGAGATAATATGGACATACTTACATCGTACATATACTAGCACTTCCTTCAAAAGAGGTCATTCGGTGTCCATTGCTCTTGTAAATGTAAAAACCTGCAGATTTATATAAACCCAAAATATAAATGAAGTGACTGGTACAAAATAGTGACTGGTACAAAGTGACTGGTACAAAATAGCTGCTGCATACACATCTCTTACTGCATTTTTGTTATTAATTACCTGCACGGTTTATAACTCTTTGACCCCTGTCCTGACAGAAATCCAAGCACACAGAAAGCGATAAGCTGTCGGTGCAGATTCAGGCCTACCTGGACAATGTGTTCGACGTAGGAGGATTGCTGGAGGACGCGGAGACTAAGAATGTGGCTCTGGAGAAAGTAGAGGAGCTGGAGGACCAACTGTCACACGTAAGAAGTAGCACATTTGAATCAATGTTTTTTTTTATATAATATCAAAATCTTGTGTAAATGATTCTAATATAATGCTAGCACTCCACAGCTTTGTAGGCTTCAAATAATTAGTAGGAAGTTGTAAAAAATGTACAAATTTTAGATAATATTGGTATAGATATGTATGGGTAACAAGCTGATAAGAGAAGAAAATGCTGGCTTGGATATCTGATCCAATCCTGCAACAGATCTAGCCTGAAACACCATTCACATTTTATTATACACTGTTTGCTGCGTATTTCTTCCTGTAGGGTAGTAAAGTGTTTGAGTAGTTTGAGCATGACGGCCTACTTTTAGATGCTCTTCTGAAATAAAGTGCATTGATTGAAAATAGCTCATTTTAAACCTCAGTAGTTTTTAAAGAAAAAATCTTAGATATCAGTTGATGCTCAAGGTTTAATATTGATATCAGTATTGGAAAAGAATGTGATATTGTGCCATCTCTAGTCCAAACTGATGAACAAAACTGTAGAGGATTCGGTAATAGGTGAGAAAGCTGTATAACATTGAATTACGTCATATTAAAACTAACGTCCAAAATGTGAAAGATACACCTAAAATGCTTTCTAATATTTCAATCTGAATCGTTTACATTATGTCAAGTGATTTCAGGCTTTTGAATGGTAGTGTATGTACATTCGTATCATAATAGCCAAACTGAATGTATGGTGTGCAGAATATGCCACGTCTTTATGCTCACTTATCCGCTGTATGAACTGAATGAAGCTATTGAATTCTCTTTGCCAGCATCCATTATTGCAAGTGGAGTATTGTTTCTCAATACTCTTTAAAAATGGTCTATTTTAATGTGCTGAACTATAGTGAAGTGAGCGTGCGTGGTATGATATCGGTGGTCAGCGTGAAAGATGACTGTAAAGGCCGGAATGGAAACAATCCCTCAGTTTGTTGGTGCAGCCCAAAGCCCAGCAGTGGGCCACTCTGCAGGCCTGAGATATGCTCGTAGCAAAGGTCACACACTGACCAAAGAATCAGAGCAAACTCTGTGCTCTCTGAGGCCAGAACTCGTGGGGTGGAGAAGAAGAGAGAAAGTAAGGTGGGGGGAAAAAACAAGAATTCCCCAAACATTCCCAGAAGTGTGAAATTAGCTGATGCAAAACTGAAAGTGTTGCTGTGTTGCCGGCTCTTCTGCTGTGTCATACTGCCCAGCTTATCTCATGCTATTGATCGTAAACAGGGAGAGAGAGAGGGAGAGAGAGGGCGAAAGAGTGAGAGAGAGAGACAGAGAGAGTAACTGTAACAGCAGTGCCAGCAGTGGTGAAGCAGTTATGGCTTTGCAGCTCAGGCTATTGTTTCTAGGATCAATACTTGGCTTTTTTTTCTTTCTCTCTCTCCTCCTCATCCCTCTTATCTTCTCTCTCTCCTCACTCTACCATGTTTCTCCCTCCCTCTCTCTTCCTTTGAACGGACCAGGTGACGGAGAAGCTTCTGGAAGTGGAGAATGAGACAGTGATGAAGGTGGCTGAGCTGGAGAAGCAGCTCCTCCATAAAGACAAGGAACTGGCAGTCATCAGGGTAGGACTGTCCTTTTAACTTGCTTGTACTGTGTCATCACTGTGCCGCCCCAGGAATTATCTTAGTTTGCTCTGTATTTTACAGTAATTTACCCACAGCAGTTTCCAGTAAAGCACTGTTAGACTACAGTCATATCACAGGGCTGTGTACATTTATAATATATAGCATAGCTTAGATAGGAATGACTTGCTATGTTTTCAATGATATATTGCTTTGGGTAAGTTTAAATAAAGTTATTTACAGTAGACAGGTCCTGATTAGAGAGCTGTGGCTGTGTACGTATTCTACTTACAAATTTGAAGGATGTTTAAAGCGATAGTTTTGAAGAGTCAAAAAATGTAATTCACCCTCCCCCCCTGGGGATTTTTTTTACTTAAAAGGCCACTTATGATTGTGCACATTTGTTGTAACAGTAGCAGTTACTGCCTCCTAGTTTTAATGCATTTTAACCACAACACTGAAAGTGAGAATAGTCATCAGGTTTGAAGCTTTTTAATGCTAGTAGTTCAGAATGGTTCTCAGGATACTCAGGATAGAGGGTTTATAACACTACATTCCTGCAGATCTAATTATGCCATTCTGGTGCTGTGCATGAAATAATTTGATCTGTTCTGTCATCAGAGACCTTAATGTTGTGTTTATACCAATAAACATAACCCTAGTTTTACTTTCTTCACTTTGCCTAAGTTTTGTGAGTCAGCTAAGACATGTTCAGGTTTCGATTTTGTTACTTAGGTTTGAACTAGAGCTAGAAGGCTAATGTTGCTATCAAGTAAAGGAAGCTTATACTCCACCAGTTCGTGGAGTGTTGTGTGAACTGCATGCCTAAATAGTTTGCCTGAATTGTGCTATGTAAACTGAAAAAGGTTATATGACACAGTATTATATTTAAAATTAGGTTTAAATCGATTTGAGGTTGAAATTGACACAGTTTGAGGCAAGTGATGATAGCACCGTTTACACCATGCTAATTGGTGGTTAAGCTTCCATTGTTTGCTAGTTATATATTTAAGTGCTAAACTAAAGTAGTTAACTTCAGACACCAAACAGATCTTGGCTGATCCACTAGATCTGTTTTTTTTCACCTTGTTGTTACGTTAATCAGACCTCTTGTAGCACAGCATTATGACCTTAATTGTATGTTTGTATCTGGCATTACAGAATCAGTAGGAGGGTTTTAAAACTCTAAAACACCAACATCCTTGCCTCCTGACTGTCTATATGTCTCTCTCTTGCCCTCCACACACACAAACACCCAGGAGACATACGAGTCAACCAGCTCGCAGGTCCACACACTCCGGCGGATGATCCAGGAGAAGGACGCTGCCTTCCAGCGACACACCAACATCGAAAAGCGGCTGCTGGAGCTGGAGCAGCAGGGCACCATCCGCCTACGCAAGCAACCTGACGGAGACATCTCCATCGAAGCTCTGGGAGGAGGTGGAGGGGGGCCTGCTGTGGCTGCTATCGGGGAGGTGGGCTCAGGGAGTCCTGGCCTGGCTAGAAGTGGAGGTATCGGGGGCATTTCTCCTGCTGCTGTGGAACCTCCAGCTCCACCTCCACCACCTCCACCACCTCCCCCTCCACCGCTACCTTCTGCTGCAGGTACTACAAGATCCATGGGATGATGTGGGTGACAGTGCTATAACCAGGAGTAGTACAGTTAGTGTAAACATTCCAAGGTGCTATGAGTGGGCTAAAGGCCTCGGTATACTTCTTGGCAGAGATGGCGTTTGCCTGGCTTTGACGAACAGTGACATAATTGCGGAGAAAACAAACAACTGCAGACTTTGTGTGGAGGCTTTGCTCGCCATTTTGTACACATGCCAGCTGGCGAACTCTGCAGATGAACACACTACGCGATGATGCCTGTGATTTGTCAGTGCAAAAGAGGCAAGTCATCATTCAAAGATGCATCAGCCAACACAAAACCAGCGAAAGTGTACTAGCTTGAAAGCCTGTGAAGGTGGTTTTGGCTTTGTGCAAGTGTTGCAGGCTTCACGTCGCTAAAAGTATATCGAGGCCTGTGAAAATGAGGTTACATTTTGAGGGTGATTTGCATGTGAACCATCACTGGACAAGTTAAAAGATGTATATAGTCAGAGGAGAACTGCACTGTGATTAGGATTATCGTCCAGTCACCTTGTTTTTACACACGTTGTTTTTACACAGCTACTAGTCAGCAAGCTATCAAGCAGTCTCTTTATCTGTCTTTACAAAATTAAAGCAGTGTTCCTCAAACCAGTCCTTGGATGGTCCACCTTTTTGGCTCTATCCCAGCTCCCAACACACCTGAACCATGTCATTAAGACCACTGAATACCTGATGCAGAATACAGACCTGATGCAGGTGTACTGGGGGCTAGGTTAGAATAAAAATAGACTGTCTGGTTGGACCTGAAGACTGGTTTGAATAACAGTATATAGTCTTTGTCTCACAAAACTTTATACGACAGTATACACCGATAAGCCATAACATTATGACCGCCTAATATGCTGTTGGTCCACCACATGCTACCAAAACAGTTCTCACCTGTCAAGGACCCCACAAGACCTCTGAAGACGTTAGCAGTATTTCAGTATATCCTGTAAGTTGTGAGGTGAAGCTGCTGTGGTTCAAACTTGTTCCAGCACATTTCACAAATGCTTGATTGGATTGAGATCTGGGGGGTTTGGAGATCAGGGCAACACCTAGAACTCACCGTCATGTTCCTCAGACCATACCCAAACAATGTATGCAGAGTGGCAGGGAGCATTGTCTGGCTGAAAGAGGCCACTGCCATCGAGGAACACCATTAGTCTGCAGCAATATTCAGGTAGGTGGCATGTGTCAAGCTGATACCCAGACTCAGGGTTTCCCAGCAGAACATTGCCACATTCCCACAAACCTTGCCATTTGGAGATGCTCCGACACAGTCGTCAGGCCGTGAGGATTTGGCCCTCGTCAAAGTCGCTCAGGTCTTCACGCCTGCCCATTTCTACCTCATCCTGCATACTGCAATAGACTATTCACTTACCGTCTAATATATCCCAGACCTTGATATATGCTGTTGTTAGGAGATAATCAATGTTGTCTGCTTCAGTGAGTAGTTAAAATGTTTTGGCTTATTGGTATATACAGTATACATGTGATGTTTGCCATTTTGAACATTCATTTCAAATTTCAAATATTAGCGATCTGCTAATACTCATGAATGACTTCTTAAGCCATCAACACTGCATTTGGTTGTGTATGTTAAGCTCTTGCCATTTGTTATGTACAGGAATTGATATAGCTCTGTGTGCTGTTTCTTACTGCTTCCAGAGAATCACACTGAGCAGAGAGCAGTAATAGTCCAAAATTCAGGACTTCTGCAGTTACTTTCAAAGATCACAGGTTTTCAGAGAGCAAGCTGTGTCCAGCCTTAAGCTTCAGGAAAGGGAAAAGCGTAGGGAGTTTCCTCCGGCTCAGGAGAGCAGACACACTCACCCACTCTGCTGAGGAAACAGCTGCACTTCAGCTAGATTAATGTCAGCATGATCTCTGGCCTTGTTGCCTGATAATGGACTGTCCTGTCTGGCAGTGTTGTAGTTTGCACACTAATGAGTGAAATACTATCAGATCAGAGTAAAAGCGTGACATATGTTTTACAGGAGAGTGCCCACCTCCACCACCTCTCGCCCCTCCACTTCCTGGAACGTCACCGTCTGTCATCCTCAGTGTTGGCTTATCAGGTGAGCAGTCAAAGCACTAATGCATGATCATTTAGAGAAGCTCAGTAGGTGCTCTGTTAAAGTTTCACCTCAGACACTTCTGTCCCTCCAGAGAACCTAATGCAAGACTGTACTATACCCAGTGGTAATTCATTTTGTTACAAGTGGAAGGGCAGTGCCCCCTAAATTTAAATAATGTGCCTTCCTAATTTGTCCTGTTTTTGTCCAGGAAGAGTAGTTTTCAAACTGTCTTATAGGAAATGATGTGAATGTAACTAGCTGAGCAACCGGTTTACACCTTTGAGTCCATTTTGCCTGATATAAGGCTGTCATTTATAGGTTTCATCTAATGTTTGGCTCATTTTATGTTGACGACGAAAGCTTGTCATCCCAACTCAATTTTTAATGTGTCTGCCTGAGACTATAACACTGAAGCTGCAAAACATTCCTGGGATAGTAAACACATCATTGTTTTTTTGTGAGAGGATTTTGCCTTTTTTTGTGAGAGTTCACTGTTTTGTGATCTGTGCCATAGCACACTTAAGTGTCTGGTAAGTGTCTGTAGAGGAAAATAGAGGTATTTATTTGCTTTCTATGACTGGAAATGACCCCGTTGCACCGATTAAAATTTGAATACGATGGCAGTTTAAAAAGAATTTTCTTTGAGTTGTTTTTTGTAATAATTATTGATACACATCACAGAATGAATGCAAACATAGGATGTAGACAACTAAGCATATTTATTAGTATTTTGTAGGTCTGCCTCTAGCCTTTATGATGACTTACATTGTTTATTAGTGAGCTAATTGTTCATGCATATCACCTAGGGCCAATTTTGCAGACCCAGATTAAGCCTAAAGGTAGACTAAATAGAATTTTACCCTACAGTTTAATCCAAGGCTAGGTCCTAATCCATGTCACGGATTGGCTCCTAGTGTTGTTTTGCCCAGTTACCAAAAATGAATTTTAAAACTATTAGTGAAGCAGAACACATTTCCCTTTGAGCTGGTTTCCCAGACCTAGATTAAGCCTAATCCTAGACTAAAAAGAATTTCCAACGGAGATTCAGCATTGGCACTGCAATTAGACTAGGCTTAATCTATGTTGAAGAAGCCAGCCCATAGTCCCACAAGTTCTCAGTGGGATTTAATTCTAGTCATGAACCATGTCATCACTTGAATTACCTCCATCTCAAGCCATTTAAATCACTTGCAGTGTGTGTTTAGCCGTATAACAGAATAGCAAGACCTTTTATTGTAGTTTTCCTCCTTTAAGTGAACAGGGTGCGATAAAGCCTTTAAAACACATTAGAAATCATTGCTAAACGTCAGTGTATGACGTAAGTGCCTCTGAGCAATTCTTTATGCTGATTAATTGCTTTATTAAACCTGCTTCTGTATCCTCTCATTGTCATTTTGACAGACTGTAAAGAATTGGTGCTTCAACTCATAAAAAAGGTAGTTACTCTGATGCCTTGCAATTTTGAGATTATTGAACTTGAAATAGTATTTCAGCAGAACTTAAGAGACATATTCTTGTGCTATTAACTTTTTTAAGGCACCAGAATTTTAAGGCACCACTATCGTCAATTTTACAGCTCAAAAACAGACTCAAGGCAGCTCTCTCCCACTCTTGCAAAAGTTTTCCAGGGTGTTCCAGTCCTTCATACCATGTGTTGTAAATGGTTCTTCCTGCAAACATCTTAAGAGTCTTGTAATTGGGTGTGATGAGAAGAGAGAAAGTGCAGCCCAGAACTGAGCAAATGTATGGTATATTTAAATAATAATCTTTTTATATCTTTAAATATTTTTTATCTGTAGCCATCCGCATCAAGAAGCCCATAAAGACCAAGTTCCGTCTGCCCGTGTTCAACTGGACTGCACTGAAACCCAACCAGATCAACGGCACCGTCTTCAATGAGATTGATGATGAGCGAGTGCTGGAGGTGGGTCCACTGCAGCTAGGGTCTGTCAGCCCGGTTTACTGTACCCACCATCATTGCCCTTCAGATCTGGGCCATAATTTACTTTGATCAATATACTGAGCAGACTCAGTATATCAGTCACTTCTGTCTCACTTAAACTTATTGTTATTCATTTTCTGACCTTCTAGTCAGTAACCCATTAAAAAATGGTGTGTTTAATTTATTTATTTCAAATGTGTGCATGATTTCCACATAAATAAAATATATTACATCAACACAAATTAAAATAAACAACAAAATTGTTTTGATATTTTCTTTATGTGGAGATGAATGAAATCAGGTAAATTCAGTGTATTTCTTATATTTTTCTGATGTAAGAATGAAGTGAATAGTGTTATGCTTTATCAAAGCCTGTAGGATCACATCTGCCCACAACAAATCTCATAGTGTATCTTAATGTAGAAACGTGCCGATGCGCTCTGATGAGACAGTGTGTCGTGTTCTGTGTAGGAGCTGGATCTGGAGAAGTTTGAGGAATTATTCAAGACTAAAGCTCAGGGTCCTGTGGTGGATCTGTCCTGTACAAAGAGCAAAGTCCCCAATAAAGCAATGAACAAAGTCCAGCTGTTGGATGCCAACCGCTCCAAGAACCTGGCCATTACCCTCCGCAAGGCCAGCAAGAGCACGGAGGAAATCTGCAGAGCCATTCAGACGTGAGTACCACACACACTCAGCACTTACACAACACAGGCAGATAGCATTTACAAAACGTGTAGTGTTTGTAGTGTAATGACAGTGTAGATCAGTGGAAATCATGAGTGTTTATTGCTGGTTGCAGGTTTGATCTGAAGGCCCTGCCGGTGGACTTCGTGGAGTGTCTGATGCGTTTCCTGCCCACAGAGGCGGAGAGTAAGCTCCTGCGACAGTATGAGAGGGAGCGGCGGCCTCTGGAGCAGCTGGCTGAGGAAGACCGTTTCATGCTCCTCTTTAGCAAGATCGAGCGACTCACACAGAGGATGAGCATCATTACTTTTGTTGGAAATTTTAGCGACAACATCAGCATGCTGACCCCGGTGAGCAAGCACAATACTGAGGCGTAATAATATTATATAGGCATATACATATTAAAGATATTGAATAGCATTTTAGGTTTAGCCTTAAAAGTCTAGAGGCATTATTGTCATAGTATTTAAATGTAAATACACAATTCTATAATTAATTACGTAGTTTATTTAAATAAATACATTCACATTTGAGTCTGCACTTGGTTCAATGGCAAACAGTGACACAAAAAAGCAAAAAATGTTTTCTTTTTGCAAAACAAGTCCGAACAGACAACAGTATTATAATTTAAATTTAACTAAATTGAAATGATAATATGTCCTCTTCTACATATACCACAAATGGGGTCTCGATAGAAAGTTACTTGTTAATATGAAATTATACCATCTTTTTTATCTGTGACTTCTAAGGGTTAATTTGGGGAGGCCGTTTTTGCAAAATTTACATGTTGTTTGAACTATTTGTCTTTATTCTGTAGCAACTCAATGCCATCATTGCTGCATCAGCCTCAGTGAAGTCCTCTCCAAAGCTAAAAAGAATGCTTGAGGTAGGAGATTTTTTGCACCATGGGCCATGGTACACCAAGCCCTAAAACTTTGCTATCTTAACAAATCTTGCTTAGATTTATTGCTGAAAATTGATAATGTATTTCATTTTAATATTATATATTACATTTACATTTATCTGCATCTTTTTTTATCTCTGTTTCTTTGTACAGATCATTCTGGCCCTTGGGAACTACATGAACAGTAGTAAAAGAGGATCTGTCTACGGCTTCAAGCTTCAGAGTTTAGATTTGGTATGATTAATGACACTCTTTTGCAGAAAAGTTTGAAAACTGTCTAGGAAACTGTTCTGCTTTATGAATAATAGGTATAACCCTTACCTATTGCACCTCTGTTCATTCTTAAACTGTCTCTGTCTTATGTTCATCATCTCCCAGCTGCTGGACACTAAATCTACTGACCGCAAGATGACGTTGCTTCACTACATTGCTCTAATAGTGAAGGAGAAGTACCCTGAGCTCGCCAACTTCTACAACGAGTTGCACTTTGTGGACAAAGCTGCAGCAGGCAAGTATTGCCTGAATGAGATTACTGTATGAACAGGCAGATGACTCTGCTCAGCAGTATGGTTCTAGTTCATTGACATTGGCCAGGTGGTGTATGGGCTGATTACTGTATCTGTGTATGTATGTGTGTATATACAGTTTCTCTGGAGAACGTGTTGCTGGATGTGAAGGAGCTGGGTAAAGGCATGGAGCTGATCAGGAGAGAGTGCAGCCTGCATGATCACGCCGTCCTGAAGAGCTTCCTGCAGAGCAGTGACCCACAGCTGGACAAGCTGCAGAAAGACGCCAAAACTGCAGAGGTGATACCATATACAACAGCTCGTCATAGGCAGTGAAACAGTGACCTACATGACATCCAACCAAGCAAGCCTAAGACCTCTGGCCACTCAAGGCCTTATGAGAGCAGTGAGCTATTTAATGAAACAAGACTTCTCAAATTCTTAAGTCAAGACTGCCTAATACAGAGCCATGTCTTCTTCTAGTAATATGTAGGGATGTCATACTGGTCCAAGTCATGTAGCCTCTTACTGCAAGACATTTAGTGGCCATTCCACTGGTGACTTTGATATTTTAAACGAATGTAATCAAATTAAATGTTTTACCCCATAACGCTGTTATGAGATTTACTAGGACATAATTGGCCCTCTGTGGGTGAATGTTGTGGCTCAGTACTGAGTCGCTAGTGAGCAATGTGGGATGAAGCCTGCGGTGAAAACAACTCGCACCTCTCCACAAAGATGACTGTGCTGAGATAAAACAGGCATCACAACTGCAACCTTCTTGATATCAAGAAATCATATACAAATGCCACAATAAAACTGCATTTGAACACAGTAAAAACACTTTTAGAAATGCTTGCTAACCTATGAAGAGGAAAATCCACTTCACTTTTGTTTTAGTCTTTCATTCACCTTTCTATCAAAAAATGTTCTGTCAGTGGTATTGAAGGAAAAAAAACATAGTCCAAACTGAGAGACCTAAACAAAGTTGAATATCAAATTTTATGGCTACTGTGACTAAGGGTTTATATCGCAAGTGTCCAATCCATCGTATTTTCTGATATGAGGCATCTCATGGATCAGGCTCACTCACTCAAATAGTCACCTAATGACTCACTCACTCCACCACTGCATCAATGACACTATGCATGCTTGATTTAATCTCCACTGTGCCCACACGCTGCACACTTCATTAAAGGTAGAAAAAAACATAAAAATAATGGTAGACTTAAAAATGTTACATTTACTTTTCAATGCTACAGTTTAAACTGCAGCTACATCTGGAAGACAGTACTTTTGTATGTCAGGTTGCTCTGAGTACTCTTCTGACTGCACTGTTACTTTTGCCACTAAGTCAGCAAAAGATGTGTGCTTTGAGGAAAAGCGGCTAGTTGAGATTGTTTTCTGCTTTAAACTAATTCCACACTGCAAATTGTGCATAATACCTATTTATGTCACCTCTATGACAGGGGTGTTCATGGAGCACAATAGGGGTAAAATAACTTTTTACAAAAGGGATGGAGTTGAATTCGGCTTAGTATAGCCGACAACCCATGCTTTGAATAAATGCTGCGATCGGCCATGTCATGAGGCAGTAATTCAGATATGTTGCAGCGTATAGCCCTTGTTGGCACCACTTTTAAATAAGGGAATTTCTCTTGGAATCAGCACCTCTCTTTCTCCGAATGTCCGTGCAGGAGGCCTTCAACACTGTGGTCATGTACTTTGGCGAGAGCCCCAAGACCACTCCTCCATCTGTCTTCTTCCCTGTGTTTGTGCGCTTCATCAAGGCCTACAAGGTAAGCACCACAGTACCACAGCACTTACACCTAAACAGTTTTACTTATACTCAGCCTAAATGTTATAATTAACACCTAAGGCTTATTATAAAGTTATTCAACATAAGATTTATTATCCACTAACTTGCAACTGATCTGTAAGTTATGAGATATAAAGGTGTGAGAGTGAGGAACTGAAGTGTGGCCCCACATACAGCTCTTGCAGGGGTTAAGAATAAATGTGTGTTTTTTTTGGTCAGTGTTATCGTAAGGGCTCATTCATAGGGACGTAGTAGAGAATGGTTGTAGGGGGGCACTCCTGTGGGGGCCTGGGGAGGGGAGTTTGAGGTGAATAACAGGAAGAAGCAGCTGTGTTGAGTTTAAAGAGCACTCACTGTGTTTAGGCTGGGCTTGGGCCCTCTCAGCACTGACCCGGACACACACACGCACACACGCCTCTTCCTCACATTGTCCTTCACTTGGATTTATGGAGTCGTGCGAGGAAACAGTGAGGCAGCCTGAGGATCTGTGTTTTGTGTGTGTGTTTTCCCAGTCACAGTTCTTGGATTTGCTGTTTCTTAAAATGGGTCATTTATGTTTCTCATGTTTCTCGTTTGCCTTAAAGTAGAATATCAGTGTTTCTGTTCTGTAACTAAACTTATGTGAACGTGGGTGTGTTCATGTGTGTTTGGTGTGTGTTTGCAGGATGCAGTTGAGGAGAATGAACAGAGGAAGAAGCAGGAGGAAGCTTTGCGAGAGAAACTGCTTGCTCAGGAGGCCAAACAGCATGACCCTAAGGTATGACGCTCTAACCTCCTGCAACCAGCAGCACAACCCAAACTGATTTTCAGTGTTGAAATTTAATCTCCATTATTTCCTATTGAATAGTCTTCATTTCCCTCCCCGTCTAGTGAGTAAAGGCTCTCATGGCCACTAAAAGAATTTATTGAAATTACCTCAAACATGAGATATTTTCATGTATTTTATTTAGGTAATTGGTAATAATTTTTTTTTATAATTTTATCGCCCAGGCCTAGATTGTAATTTCACTAGTGAACACACCCATGTCCTTCTCTCTGACCCCCCTCACAGGTGCAGGCTCAGAAGAAAAGGCAGCAACAGCATGAACTCATCGCTGAGCTGCGACGCCGACAGGCCAAAGACCACCGGCCCGTTTATGAGGGCAAGGACGGCACCATCGAAGACATTATCACAGGTGGGACACACAGGACTCAAACTATAATTCCCATCAACTCCAAGGCGAGGATCAGCGTGGTGGTCCGCTGCTCCTCACGCCAGCAGTGCACCATGTGTTACATTACCCAGTGTCCACTACGGTACCAGTTAGACTGATACAGTGTGATTTAGTACAAACTCTCACGGAACCTGCGTTCTGAAGCCATGCACACTTCATTAAGAGGACTAAAGAAGTTAAGCGTGGTCTTAAACCACCTTTCGTGTCACTGCAGTCACCAGGGAGGACCAAATTAATCTATATTAATGCTTTGGTCTAAGCTGTTTTTGTCTGTGCCTCATCTCTAAATATGCATAATGTTATTAACTTGGCAGTTTAGAGAAGATTTACTAAAGAACACTGATGTTTACAGGTAACACTAGCATATAGACATATTTCTCTGACAGATTAAGCCTAGTTGGATGTAATTACATTGACAGTGGGCATTCTTCACTGAAGATCAACTGAAGTCTAGGACTAGGCCTAATTTGTAGAGAGAACTAGATATTTGAGACACATCACAAGGTCTCTTGCAGCCAGTGAAGCATTGGCTTACAAACAAATTTCAGATTCAATTGTAATTTTCTAAGATAAATTATTTTCACTGCACACTGATTGGTGGTAAGCACATATACATATATATACATATACAGTACCAGTTAACTGTTTGGACATACCAACTTATAGTATTTCTTCATTTTCATTACATATTTTAGAATAATACTGACAAACAAAAATATTGTCCTTCTGTAAAATACAGCTATTTAGACACACCTCACTTCAACACAGCACATCTGATTGGTTCAAATGAATTAAGAAAGACAAACATTCCGCTAATGAACTTTTATCGAGGCACACATAGTAATTAGGATGTTGTAATAGTTGTGGTTCAGCAGATTCCAACTCTAAATTTCACCCAAAGTTCTAAACGTAAACTATTTTTGTTTTGTAAATAAATAAATAGTTTAACATACCCTATAACTGAACTACTTTAACTACACTATTTGTAATTTAGAGCATTTAAGCGTAATAATTAACACGTCTCGAAGAGCATACTTTCATTCATGTGTGTTCAAACTTCTGACTGCTACTGTATTCCTAAACGTTTTCTCTCTGAAGGTTTGTCTGTAAGGACAGTCTCTTTCCTCCCCCCCAGGGGCAGAAAAGTCCCTTGACCTTAACGTAACTAGCTGTAACGTTCTCTTTGTGCCCTCCCTCCCTCCCTCAGCGCTGAAGAGTGTGCCGTTCACCGCGCGCACGGCCAAGCGGGGCTCGCGCTTCTTCTGTGACACCAACCTGTATGATGAGTCCAACTGCTAGCTACCCCCCCCAAAAAACTAGCCCTAATGCTGAAGGTTGTCCAGTTCTCTTACGCATCCCCCCCTAAAACCCTGCATGCCCACGAGACACATGCATGAACCTGTCATTTTCTCCACAGTGCACCAGCACCACCTTACTAACCTGGGATTATGTGTGTATCAGAGAGTGCAGATCTGGGATCAGCTGTTGTTTGCCAGGTCCTGGATGAATGGAGCTATGATGGACAGGCAGGAGCTGATCCTAGATCAGCACTATAATGCTGATATATCTGATATATGAGTGTGGCAGTCCAGGTTGTGCATGATCACCAATCTGGATGCTGCAATAAGGACTAGCACAGCCGTTACACTGGGACACAACGACAAATGGACTGCTGAATTGCTGTACATTTATTTGTACTTGTAATAAAGTCTTTGCATCAGTTATAGAGTTATAGATCTAGAGTAGTTTGTTTTTTTCTGCATAGAAATGTGCCATCTAAGAATTTATCATTGTTATTGTTTGGGCAAAAAATCTAATATACACACATTTTCCAGTTTTGCACTAGAACTGCAAAATTGATGTGGCTAATGGAACTATTGGAGTTAGGGACAATAAGCAACCTAAAAGAACCTAAAAATGAGTTTTCTGCATGGATTTTAAAAATACATTTTAGGCCAAAACCTTCTCACAAAACTATCAGATGGGGCAGCAAATTGATCACCATTTCATTTCAAAACTTGCACCACCCCTGTGAGCAATTTTGACTTGGTAAGTTTCTCTAGAACATCACTTTGTTTACATCATGATTTAATTATACAGATATTGAGAAAAATCTGTGCAATTCCCCTTTACCATGAATAGGGTCTTTCACCTGAGAGCTCATGGTTCGTTTGCTCCTTTTAATGCTAGCTCCATGCTGAAGCAGAGCCTCAAACTCCATCAAACAAACAGCATAGAGCTCCTCTGTGAGTCAGTTAAACTTTTAGCAGAATGGGCTGTTACCCATTGCCTGTGGCTTAGAGTCAAACTGGCTATAAGAAAAATGATAACCTTATTGCCTGATAAATCCATGTCTTGTTCCTCTTTTTCCCCACAAGTGTCTAAAAGGTTAGTGTGTCTAAAAAAAGTTTCAGTGCGCTGAAATCATAGCTGCTTTTTTCATCTGGAAAAATCATCATTGGGAAAAAAGACCTTACGACAACTGAATATTATTAAAGCATTACTGTAAATAAGAATTAAATGACTGTTTCTGTTGCCATTTTGCCCGTGAAGCAGAGTGGCCATCACTCATTGCTGTTTGTGTGCAAAATGGAAAGACAAAACAATAAATTCTAAGTATTGATTTCACGGCCGCTGTTGATAATAGCTAGGTGGTCCGAGCCCTAAAGTGAATGTGCAAAAGTACAGATGAAATTCTGGCTTTCTGTATCAGAAACCCCTTAAGCATTTCATAACTTGAGATGAGCGATGATTTAGTAATGCAGTCTAAACCATGCTAATTAGTTGGGTTATCAGCTTCCATTACTTTTTAGCTATATTAGCATCACAGCTCCAGTGCAAAACTAAAGAAGTGAACTTTGAACAACAAACATGTCTTGCCTCGTCCACTACTCCAATTTAGACCTGAGACTCAAACAACAGCACAGCAGTCCCATTTGCCGTGTATCACCCCTGAGGTGTGGCATGTGGAATAGTCCTTATGATGTTTTGACGGTTTGACTTCCTCTAACCTGCTAGTTTCATTTCTCCCCTGGCTAATGGTTTCTCCTACCTTTCCAGCAGAACAGAGGATTGAGCTGAGTAGATATGGGCCTTTACTAAACGGAGGGTAAGAGGGGAGCTTTACTCCTGTCTGCCTTTCAGCCTGCAGCTTCTGTGGAATATGTCTAAATCTGAAAAGGCTTTTTTTGCTAGAATAAGGTGTTGAATCATTTGCTTTGCACGTGGCTACATACATACTGTGTTTTGTTTTTTCTGTATTTTTACTTTTTTCCACATTTTAAAAAAGTTAGAATGGTTTAGTGAGGACAACAGATTTTTACAAGTTTTACACTTACTGAGGACATGTTGGCTGCCGAAACTATTTGTTAGCTTGCCTTAAAATGTGTATATATAATATATATAACATATATTTGTTAAGCTTATAAATGGCATTTTGTCTGCTAATTTTAGTGCAGTTTCTATTTACTTGCTGAGTTTAACACATTGGAAAAAATGTTTTGCATACGACTAAACTGCACTGTTTGTCTTTGAAACAACTTTTAAGCATTTAAACCTAAAGGCCATTTCATGCAAACTCACCTACAGCCTGGCATGTCGCACAACAAGCAAAATCTTCTGTTTAATTCATGCAGTCATGCAAAATTTAAAACTGTTCTCTATATAATTTTTAGATATGCATTGTTGAAAGTTTGAAACAGCAGGTTATAAATCAACGCTTAAATGATTGAAGTGAAATACTAACTGGGTAGCAGTAAAAATATGTAACTTTTAAAAATATTAATTACATTTACACTACTTTCATATTGATATATTCCCACAATAGGTTCATTTATCAGGTGTACTTATGTCTGTAAAGTCTTTGAAATGTAAGCTTCTGGGTAGTTTTCAAAATTATTTTTGCAAAATATACTCATGTAGTATACTTATGACTAATGTATGATCATTTTAAAGTAATTGTGAAGCTTCATCATGAGTTCAAACTGCTTAGGAACTAAATGTCCATGACCCTATATTTTTGCAAAAGGACTAATCCTATTTCCTTTTAACTTTCTACTGAATAAAAAAGAGTTCTGTTTGAGTAATATACAAAAATAGATGTCTTTATGAGGTGTTTTACTTGCAAGCACAATATGAGGAAATTATAAAACAGTAAATAGGAAAGCACTAGATTTTCAAATGAAGCTTTAATTAAAAGCCTGTTCTTTTTTTTGTTGTTTTATTTCCTGTTGGGTCGTCTGTTAAACACAGAATCTTTTCCAGAGGCATCCAACAAGTATGTTGTCTTGCGTCAGTCATTCTGTAAGCAGTTAAACTCAATAGGTACGATTCTGTTTAGGACCCGATGGGTAAACTTTAAAAGTGCTTAACGTTTGGAGGACAGCTTTGACATTTTGCATGATGGCATGAATTGATTTTTTCATAGAAATCCTTGACATGACAGGTGACTTAGTGTGGAAAGACCTTTGAGCCTTCATTGAGTGTGTCCTGAGTTTTGACTGGTAACATATGCATTAAGCCTTGACTCTTGATGAAATTTTAATGTGGTGCTGTACTAAAGACTGAAGCCATTAGACAGAGAGGGATCATAATGCTTTAGGAAAGAAAGCAGAGCTCCTTGTTCCTGGTCATATCTGTCCTTTTTGCATGGAATGCTGTGTGTGACTGCTCCGGCTAACTTGTCTGCCACGTCTGCTCTGTTATACTGCTTGTGACAATGGCCTGCATGCATTCCTGCAGTGTTCGGCAAGTTCTGCAGAGGACTTCAGTGTACACAGGTCACAGAGTGCTGTTTTTAAGCACAAATAGTCTCTTTACTGTTCTGGAAAGCCTCCTAAGACCTTGCTGATCACTTGATCTGTCTTTTCAGATGTCCTGGAAAGTCCTGTATGCTGTGCATTTGTGTACTTGCTACGTTTTTTGATAGATTCATCTTTGTGATTGCAGTCTACTGTGTCTCTGACCTGACAGAGATAACAAAGAACAGTGGGAAGATCACATTCCCTAAAAGCAAGACATACCATTGTAATTGATGTAGTGCATTGTGAAATCTTAAATGTTACCAATTTAATTCAGTTAATATTCAGATTATTTGAATATGATTCAGAATTCTTTTTAAAATACACTGAATACAGAAACAGAATATAGACATAAAAATATTTTTTTGCTTATTTTCTATTTGAATGTAGCCTCAGAATTATTTAAAATACCAGTGCTTATGTTATTGAATAATCTTTTTTTACACCTTAAGAAATCATTAAAATAGCCCTTCAGATAGACCCAGCACTGCAGAAAATTTGCCTTTGCAGACTACAAAATAAGCCTTATGTGTGCATGTTTCAGCGTGTACTGCTACAGTCTGAAGTTTTGTGGTCCCGTTTAACTGCGGTGTTCCCTGCTCTAACTCTCTCCCTTCCCCACTCACAGATCTCCGAAGCCAGCCCTTCCTGCGAGCTGACGCGGTGATCCGAAATGGGTGGAAACGACCCTAAAGACCCCTCACACACTCACCCTGTCCCAGCCTTCCCGCTTTGCCCTTGAAAGTGGCGCCTCCCTGCAACTCACAGTGACTGCGCGTATAGGCCGGGACCAAACCGCCATTTGAAAGGTGTGGGGGGAGGGAAGGGGTGTCCTTATTTATTCACGGAAAAGGAAGACCTTTCTGACTGCTGCACTGGAGGCTCTTTCTCTCTCAACAAAACTATAAAAACACAGACATGAAACGTTACCACCCTTTCCTCACTCTCACAAACAAATACACACACAAAGCCCAAAGAGCATCAGTGTGCGGCCTTGTTGGGGAAAAAAGGAAAAAGGCGACTTCCCGGAGAGTGGTGTGAACCGAGGAGACCGCACACTACCTTCCCAAATCCGAAGAGCCTGCCAACAACAGTGACACTCCAACAAACATGGCTTTCCTCACATTGTGCAATCTAAAGTAAAACTCTTACTGATGGAGAGACCGGCCCGAGGGGATGGCCAGATATTTAGGGCCTTTTTCTCCAAGCTTTTTTTGTATTATTTGTTTTTTAATTTTCTGGTTTTGTTGATGTTTTTTTCTGCAGATAACTACACAGTGACATGATTATTAACAAAGGTTGAGGAAAGCTCATCAGACCAAACCTCCTTTTTTCTCTTTTTGTTCTTAAAGAAGTGCCTTTTTATCCAGACAGTATTATTTGCATAAATATTTAGCCAAAATTTTTCTTACTTTTGTACTGATTTATTTCTTTTTTGTACTTACTTTTTTGTATCATCTACTTAATTTTGTAACATCTACTTAACCTGTAAATAGCCAAGTATCCTACAATTGCAGTGCATTGTATTGTAGATTTAAAGGGGGCATATTTTAAAAAGCTGTTGCTATTAGGGGTCTGTTATACTGTAGCAGGCGACTGTATATGTGCCTTGCATTAACAGTGCCCCTATCTTTGTGGTGAAGTACAAAACTGCTAACATTTTTTTACATTAAGCGGTTAGTTTTAACTGACTCTGTATATTTTAAATACCGGTATCTGAGCACCTAGACTTTGCTCATGAACGCCTTAATGTGCATGCACCTCTCGTCCATTGACGTTGACTCTAGGCTGTGTCATGTGTCATTTTTCTTTAACTGAATGTCAAACATATACCAAAATTATGACGACTACAGTGAAGTAAATGCTATGTTCAATAGTCCAACATGAAAAAGAGCCACTGAACTGTGCTGAACGCAGTTCCATCTCAATGCCTTATGCTGAGGAGGTGAAGCAGAATTTCAGATTATGGTTTACTCGCACATGAAGACAGCCTGTAATTGGTTTGGTGGGTTATGATTATTCTGTATTATTTGGGAACACTGAAATGTTTTGAGGATGGTGGTTTCCCTTGCACTAGCCATAGAGAAGCAAAACAATTGCGCGATCGGCCACAATAGGATTGTCATAAAAAGGGACACATCACTATAGTAGCACACTACGTAATGCCTCTGTGTTTTAGAGGAAGGAAATGTATATGCAACACTAGGTCTTATGCTGTGGATTTGTTTTATAAAGTCTCTTAAATTATATCATTTGTTTTATGGAAAAGACAAAACTGTGCCATTGAAGGCTAATCAAATACTGCACCACTGTACCAACTTAAGCCATTCCAAATTGTGAAAAGAAGCACAAATAAAGGTAGAATGTACCTCATTGTACCTCTGTCTTATCTTTGCATCCGTTTGAAAACAGAAAATGAATTCAGCACATTGGACTTCGTCATATTAGCTTTTTTCTATGAAGCTTAAAACACGGCAATAAGACAAAAATCTCAATACTTATCACTGAGAATTCAAAGCATTTACTTGATAAATAATATGCGTCACAATTGGTTTTTCTAAAGTTTGTTACTGTCTACAATTTTATTTAAAATACTGAACTGCAGTTTGATTAAACAAGGCTAATTATGCTCTCTTTGTAATGAAACATGCAGTTGCTCAGCGCTTGTTAAGTACTGACAATATCCACAATGTGCTCCGAAAAGCATATTGTGATATAATGTGACAGTTCATCACAATAACAATATTGCCCACCACTATTCAAGCACCCAAGATTCATCAAAGGTGTTCATTTAACATAAACTAATCTGCATTTTTGTTGTTTACATGTTGTTTTAATGGGCTGAACATTGTAAGACATCCTAGTTTCCTAAAGTTGAAACAAGTGCATTTATTGTTTTTATAACTGGAAAATCTGCCATCATTTGCCTTGCATCACTGGGCAAATCACATCGTAATACTCCCTGTCTTAGTTTTATCAGTTTCCTTCCGAGACTCCAGCAGTGTGAAGTAGGCCACTGAACCAGAAACCAGGTTTATTTTCTGTACACACTGATTTTTATTTCGTAATTATAACAATATCCGTTTACTTTCTGTAGTTTATGAAGTTCTCCAGCAAAAAATAGTGAAACATTACTCTATCTCTCCAAAAGAAGGGCTGAGCCACCATGCATTTCTACTATAAAAAGCAGTTTAATTATTCTGTATATATAAAAAGAAAAAACAGAATTAAAACAAAATCAACAGGAGTACCGAAATGGTGGTAAGGGTTGTGTGTAAGCAGTTTATGATTGTTTTAAAAAAAACAAAAAAAACAAAAAAAAAAACACAAAGTAGACCTTAGACTTCACTGAATTACATCTGACGGTGAAAACGAAGCGGACGTGGAAGTTGCAGACCAGGACGGTGGGTGAACACTGTTAACGTTTCCATGTTACATGCATTAGTCTGTGGCAGACCTGGCTGGTTTTTCACCTCTGAAAGAAGCAGCGGGTCGAGCTGATTTCCCTGTGGAAAAAAAAATGACAATGGCAGCGCTAGCAGCGAGGCAGTGAGTCAGGGCAGGAGGGCAACGTGAGTCCACAGACTCCACACACGCACACATACGCACATCCACACACAGCAGAATGCACTTCCAATGAGCCTTTAAAAACAAATAAGACACCACACTATTAAAAGAAAAAAAAAAAAAAAAAAACACAACACTGACTCCCATTTAAGTGGTATATAATAGAAACCCTCAAAATCCCACTGAATGAAACAAAACAATGAACAAAAGCTTGACAATTCCATTTTTCCTCCTCATGGTCCCTTTCCTCCTGGAAGACACGGCATCAGGGGAGACTAACAATCAATCAATTCATTCCCTACTTCCAACTATCATTCCTTTGGACAACTGCTGACACACATACAAAGGCCACAAAGACACCCTGGAATTAGTTCTGGAATGTCCTCTCAAAATAACTTACCACTTTTACTGTCTATCAGATCAATCTTTCATTCATTCATTCTTTCATTCATTTATTCATTCACTACTTCACTTACGACAGTACTTTACCCTAAACAAACTAAAACTGCAAAGGATTATATACTACTGTATGGTTGCTGTTGCTTGTAATCTTGGGTATATTTTTCAGGTCACTTCTGTTAAAATGTATATTATATATACGTAAATATATATAAAATCCATCTGTGCAAGGAGTAAGACAATCATCATATGCCTAAGTTTACCATGTCTCCTCACCACACACACACACACACACACACACACACACACACACACACACACACACACACACACACACACACACACACCCCTCTCCTCCAGCAGAACATACACACACTGGTACATGGACCAATCAGAACTCGGCATTCAGCCCGCCTCCTCCTCTCCGTTACTAGATCACTGGCAAAAAAACAAAAAAAAAAACAAAAAAGGAACAAAAAACAAAACTTGGCTATTTCCTATTCATATGAAACAATGGTTTCTACACAGTTCATACATAAAAAAACAATCAAAATAGTTCCATAGTTGTTACTCTGTTGTTGGCATCTCGTTTAGCACAGAGGTAGAGGCTACATGGAGGGGAGAGAGAGGGTTGCTAGGTGAGCAATGACTACCCAAAGGCATAGAAAAAATGTTTTCTTTTTTTTGACCGGAAGGATTTGTCAAAGAATAAAATATAATACTGCAATCACATACAAAAGTAGTCCTTCATTTTACATTTTATACAGTGTTCTCGCTCTCGTTGTTGCTTTTCTTCTGATGTCTAAAGGCATGAAGGGGAGTGGCATCTGAGGGAGGGTGGCTCTATGCCAGCGGGTCGCCCATGTCCTCATCCCCCGCGGACAGCAGCTCCTTCTTCTCATCTGTGCTGGCCAGAGAGTTGCGGCTGTTGTGGGCGCCCATGTAGAGTGTGGCGTACACAGGGTTGGTGAAGTTAGTGGGCTGAGGGAGAAAGAGATACAGAGGTTAGCCAACATGAAAAAAATATGCTTGCAGTCCAAACTTTTGAGCTACGAAGCTCAAAAATGTTGTTGCATAGCTAAAGACAGTAGCAGCAGCCATCTGCTTATAGACAACAGGGTAACACTTTTCTTGAATAGCCACCTGTAGATGCTTGGTGGATGTTTACCTTGCCTTTAACTACTATATAACTAAATATCTATTAATTAATATCATCTTGAAGGGGAATTCCACTGATTTTTCAAAATGTCTGCATAACTCAGTAGTTGAGACAAACTCATTCAGAGTGGTTTGATATGAAACGGTTAACTGGTGGTGATGGGATCCAGGGGTTGCAATGTCCACAAATACAGCCATTTTATGTACAATCCAAAAACAACCAGTGAACCTATGTTTTCACGAGTTTTTCTGTTTTAACTGGAGACAATTTTACCTCACAACAACCTGTGTATCGGAATGTGTTTAAAAAATACCTTTTGAACAAAAATCTTCTCAAAACTATAGTAATGTATTTAGTTCTCATCACCACCACTGTGAATGCCACTCTTTCAAACAGATTCTCTAGAATAGAGCGTTTCACACTCCGAATGAATTTACCATTTAATTATACAGAAGTTGTAAAAATCTGTGGAGTTTCACGAAACGTAACATTCACTCTAAGCCTAAACATAACCTCAATCCAAAACCTAAGCATAAGCCATCCTCTAAACCTAATCTTGGCACTAAACCTAACCTTAACGCTGTTGAGAGTCAGGTGAGTTTGAATAGAAAACTGAATAGTTAACAGTACATCATTCAGTCTCCACATGAGCAAGTCTGCAAGAGAGTAACTAAAAAGGGTCTGATGATTTAGGGCATGAAGTTTGCAAGGTGCTAATTGGTGCCATGGAGTGAAAGCTACTTTAGCCTCGTAGCTCAAGTGCAAAACTTGAAAATGTCAAACACTGAACGTGCCTTGGCTACACTTGGGAAGAGTGTGTTAAATTGAATTTTTAGATTTGAGTTACAAAAAGCTGGGAGATTAACAGGTAGGGCTGTCATGATCATGAGGTTTTAGCAGACAATTATCACACACATAACTGTGATTCACAATTTAACTATTTTTTCACTGCATGCAAATATTGAAGTACAAACGTAAAATGGCCAAAATAGCTGATTAGCCATTTTGCTTCCTAGCTGTTCATTTAAACAAATGTCTAGTTAAACAGAATCGTGTGGAGTCAATCAAAGCTGTGTTTATCTGTAAGAGACTTGTTGTGTCGTGAGATTTTAAAACGCAACAAGCGGGACCATGTTTGTGTAGCTTGAACCATCTGCATATTTGTGTGTAATACATCTCCATCATTATATCATACCTTCATTACAGAACCCTGAGGAGAGCAAACAGCTCATGCTGTCATTGTTCTTCGTGCATGTAGGATCAGATGGTTACCTTGTCCGGGTCCAAAGTGAAGTCTGAGTCTAGCAGCTCTCCGGCATCATCGTCCGGCTCTCCTTCGTAAATCTTATACGCAGGGTTCCCAATCTCTACATTCATGGCTCCGTTAGTCATCCTTTGGTGCTGGAATCCCTTTGCACTGTGGACACACATACACACGAGGGGGGGAGTATCAGTCCCCATTCAAGACTCTAAGAAGTTGTTTAGCAAACAGTCGAGGCACAAGAATACACAGTGTCAAGGAGGCCTAGACCCAAGCTACTCACAGACACGGCCAGCACACACTACACATCATAATTCATACTAGGGCTGGGCGATTAAAAAAATTATTAATAATAATAATAAAAAAAATCATATTTCACAATCTGTTTTGTGTACTTTGCCACTCATTCAGCCTGCTTAGAGTGGAAAATACAAGACATTTTCATCATTATAGTGGAGCTGCCATTATTTCAGCACAGTTCAATCATTAAGACCCATGGGTCAAACACAAGGCCCGAAGGCCAAGTCAGGCCCGTGACAGTCCTATCCGGCCCACAAAATTATTTTAATTTTCTATTCTTAGTAGTCCGTTTCACCCTGAATATGCACTACAGTCCCCAGCATGCACTGCAACATAGTATGTGCTCCGACCCCCCCAGGAGAGACGTGTAGGTTCATTGACTGATTGGACAGTAAATAAAATGGCTATATTTGCATTGCAGACATTGTGAACCCAAGGGAAAAATCATTTTAGCATTTTACATCAAACCTCGCTGAAAGACTAAACACTGCATAAATTTAGAAAAATTGGTAGAATTCTCCTTTGACTTGCTCTACTGTCACCTAATACGTTAATAATGCAATGTAACAATCCAATGTTTTACCAACCTTCTGGTCAGTAAAACTGAGTAAAACATTACATGTAAATCTTCTTCAGATTTTATTATTCAAATAAGTGAGCAGGTTCCATATCAGTCCAGCATCAG